CTTAAAAACTTAAAATAAGGGAGCTGGAGAGATGGCTCAGTGGTTAAGGGCATTGCCTGCTCTTCCAAAGATCCTGAGTTCAATTCCCGGCAACCACATGGTGGCTCACAACTATCTGGAATGAGGTCTGGTGCCCTCTTCTGGCCTGCAGACATACACACAGACAGAATATTGTATACATAATAAGTAAATACTTAAAAACAACTTAAAATTCTCTTCATTTGGATGGATGGTTACTTGCTTGCATGTATGTCTGTTCACCACATGAAGTGCCTGCAGAGGTTAGAAGAGGGCATCAGATCCTCCTGGAAATGGAGTTAGACAGTTGTGAGCTGCCATATGAACTCATGTCCTCTGGAAAAGCAACCAGTGCTCTTAACCGCTGAGTTGTCTCTCTGTGCTCTCACCAGCATTAAAGAAATATTGTGTATGGGGTGTTGAACATGCTGTAGCCTGAGTGCGGAGGTTAGAAGACAACTTAGTGGGGTCAGTTCTCGCCTTCTACTTTACGTGACTATGGGGGACCAAACTCACATTGTTAGGAATCAAGAGCCTTTGTTCGTTGAGCCATTCTGTAGGCTCTTTAATTTTGTTTATTTGGTTTAGTTTTGGTGGGAGGGACAGGGTCTGTCTTCATAGTTCTGGCTGTTCTGGAACTCACTATATAAATCAGCCTGATATAAACTAGCCCTGAACTCAGAGATCCACCTGCCTCTGCCCTGAGTGCTAGGACTAAAGGTGTGTGTCACCACACCCAGCTAAATGTTTTTTGTTTAGTGCCCATGCCTGCAGTCCCAGCACTGGGGAACATGGAGGGAGGAATATGGAGTGTTTGAAACCCTGGGTCATGTAGCAAGACCCTGTCTGGAAAAAAAGGAAAAGGAAAAATACAGTGCTTGCCTAGCACACACAAAACCCTGTACTCAGTGGAACGAGTACATAAACCCAGGCATGATGGCACATGCCTGTTGGTCAGCACTCTTAGTCACATACCAATTTGAAAGTTGACAGAGTGCCTTGCTTGTAAAAACAGGATTCCTATGATATTATAGCTGGCCTTGCTCAGCCGTTATTGGTCAGCCCCAACCTGGAGGGGAATGCTTGCTGAGATTGAACAGACAGCTCAGATCCACAGTAGCCCCCTATAGCTGCGTGCTTCCTCATTCCCTTAGTCTCCAGATAAACTCCAAATATGCTCCTCCTCTTAGTAGAACCCACCAGAGAAGGCTCTTGTCCCTCACTGTGTGTGCTAATAAACACAGTCTTATCTGAGGAGGTCAGACTCTGGGCTCTTTCCTGCCTTTTGTCTCTGTACTCTGTGCTTCAAAATCTAACAAAGGTCAGCCTGGGCTACATGAGACCTTGCCACCCCTCCACCCCAACCCCATTGAAAGACTGGCAGATGGTTCATTTGACAAAAGCGCTTTCTGCTCAAACCTGATGACAGGAGTTCTAGCCTGGTCTCATAGTGGGAGGAGAAGGAGCTGTCCTCTGACCTCCACGAGCCTGTCTTTGCTTATACACACACACAGGCATACATAGATGTTTAAAGTTCAATTTATTTAATTTCAGGTACATGAGCGTTCTGCCTGTGTGCGTGTCTTTGTGTCTCATGCATGTCTGGTCTCCTTAGGGCCAGAAGAGAGCATTGGTCATCCCTTGGGATTGGAGTTACAGTATTATGAGCCATCATGCAGGGCTGGGAACCAAACCTTGCTCCACACCGCCCCCATTTTGTTTTTTTGTTTTTGTTTTTTTAAGAAAAAAAAAAAAGGAACATAAAACATGCTACTGGGGAAACCAAAGATTAGATCCCCTACCCAGCCTTGACTACCAAGGAATGTTTCTCAGAGACCATAAGGATCAGACAACTATGAGGCTAATCAGATAGGCCTGGTGAAATGGCATGGTCAGAGAAAACATTGTTGAGCATGAAAGCCTGTGCTACGCCTGGACTGCACACAAGACCCTGTTTCTCAAATCATTCAAAACCCACAAGTGCTCAAGAAAGCGGAGACATCTAAAACACTGCAGTTCGTTTACAATGGGTAAAATCTGGCAAGAGAGGAAGGAGGCTTCTGCTTTAGGTTTTTTTTCTTCTGAGATGAGGACCCATGTAGCATAGGCAGCCCTTGAACTCCCCATTCTCCTCCCTCCACCTCCCAAGTTTTGAAATTACAGATGTGTACCACATCTGACATTAGTGTTTTACTTATTTTTTTGAGCTAATCTATTCTGGAACTCACCGTGTATCCTAACTAGCCCCAAACCCACAGCAATCTGTGTCAGCCTCCCAAGTGCTGGAATTACAGGTGTGAGCCACCACAGTCGGCTCAACCGGCTTATTCTTGTTCTCTGGAAAACAGGATCTCCCTGTCACCAGCAGCTGATACTAAGGGGACCTGGGCTATGGCTGTAAAGAGCTGAATTTAAGGGCCTAGACTTGCTCCTGATATGCATACTTAATAACCCGTATCATACTCTCTGTTGTCCCAGACCTGTCACAGTGCCAGGTACCATCAGAGCTCAGTAAACGATTATTGGATGAATACAGTGGCCACCAACACTCTGAAGACGAACATTACCCTTTGGAACACTATGGATAACAAAATGGTTAACTTAGCTGCAGACCTTATGTGACAGATTTGTTAAGGAGCACCCTCTTCCCAGAGCAGTGATGCCTTGAAATTGTCATCCAATTAATTCCACGAGCGAGCACTCCAGGTTGGTAAGGGCCGCTGATTTGATTTTATCTGTCTTTTAAGATGCAGTTTTTGATCATGCCCCACTCCAGCTGGACTTCCTTGCCTAGTCTTCCCTTCTCCATTACTAATGGTGCTGGATCGAGTTACCTCATTATTCCTTAATTTATTTATGAAAAGGCTGAGGTTAAAGAGAAGAAGCAAACCCCTGAGTCTTTCGGGAACTTTCTGTAAAAGCTTTTCTTTCCCCTGTCCCCTCCCTTCAGCCAGTTACAATTTCTCATCGTTATCCCTGGCAAGCTGGAATAGTTTTTATTTACAAACTTATATAAATAAACCTTGCTCTGGCTGGGTGGAGGCCATCTGTACGGGCTAAGTCTGGTCTGTTAATTCCCAGTGGATTAATCTATCAACAGGAACTCACTCACACGGAGCAAGCTGCTTTCAGAAAAGCACAACAATCCTGGGCAAGCTGGCTACTTTGCCACAAAACACTTGAGGGAGAGAAGGTTTTTAAAATTTAAATTGTATTATTGCGCAGTAATTTGAATCAGTCTGGATAAAATGGAAACACAGAACTATGTGGAGGGCCGGTGAGTTGGCTGAGTGCCTCCTGCCAAGCCTGAGGATCCAAGCTGATCCCTGACACCCATGCTGTCTTATGACCTCCACATGAGCACCAAGCTCTAGACACAGGGTTGGAGAGATGGCTCAGTAAGGTTAAGAGCACGGGGTGTTCTTCCAGAGGACCCAGGTGCAATTCCCAGCACCCACATGGCAGCTCATACCTGTGATTTCAGTTCCAGGGGATCTGACACCCTCACAACAATGCACATAAAACAAAATAAATTGTATATAAAAAGAATCTCCGAGACATGACATGCTCTAAGTAAAATATCTAATTTTCAAAAAAATTTAGAAACCGGTCAGTGGTGGCACATGCCTTTAATCCCAGCCCTCTGGAGTCATAGTTCTGTTAGTTCAAGACCAGCCTGGTCTACAGAGTAAATTCCAGGACAGGCTCCAAAGCTATGGAGAAACCCTGTCTTGGGGAAAAAATTTAGAGACAAATAGAACCAAGCAAAATTAGCTAAAAAGAAAAAAAAGAATCGAATCAAAAGTGAAAGGTGGGTCAGGAATGGTGGTATACTCCTACAGTCCCAGCAGGCCAGAGACAGGATCTGGGTGAGTTCCAGGCCAGCCTGGTCAACATGAGTTCTAGGTCATCCAAAACTACACAATGAGACACTGTCTCATAAAAAGAAAATGAAAGTCACCCCTTCCCCCCAAAAAAACCCAGCCCAAGTAAATAATAACAAGGCAAAAGGCTCCCTTTGTCTCATCCCGCTGATAGGAGGCTAAGCACTTTCCTTTACAGGTTTGTGTTCAACTTCTGGGTCCAAGGAACCCTCCAGGCTTAAGCTTCCTGAGTGGCTGGCATTACAGGAAACAAGAATCTTGCTTTAGGATTGATTCTTTTATTTTCTTTTCCAAGAATGTACTTTTTAGCCTGGTGTGTGGTACTCAAGTGCTTGCCTTGAACACAGGATTCTAGGTTCCATCCTGGGCACCTGAAACAGAATGTTCCCGTACTCGTCTAACTACGCCTAAGTGAACTTCTAACAAGCAGCATGGAGGGCATCACTACAGGACGCAGTTGTCTGTCCGTCCATCTAGCAAACCCGGGACAGTCTTCCAGGCAGACTACACGTGCACATTTCAGCGGCTGTAATTATATTTTACAGGATACAGGTGCCTTTTTATTTATCTATTCCCTTCTAATGAGTGCTAACATAATTTCCAGTATTTTCAGTGTTACAGCTGTTATAAGTAACGATTCTCTCTGGAGTTCCTCATTCAATCCACGCATTAACCGTGGCTCATCGAGTGCCACCCTCTCTGTTCAGGATGTCCGGCAAACAAAGGATTCCTCAAACTCTTTTGTTGTTGTTGTTGTTAATATTTTTTTCCCCCCCGAGAGGTTGAAGATTGGGCTCTCGACAACCTAGGAAGCCAAGGTATCTGAAGACCACTTAGCCGGGCGCCGGGTCTGGGTCTTTGGCGGCCCGCACGCTCCGCACCGGCAGATCGGGCGAGCGCAGATCCGGCGGGGTGGGGCCGAGCTGCGCGCGACCCTCGGCGCGCTCCTGGAGTCCAGCCCGAGCGACCGCTCTGGTCACCACGGCCGCGGGCTCTATGACTCCGCTCGGGCTGGCGGAACGGGGCGGAGTCGGCGGGGAAGGCGGAGAGTGTCGGGCACCAAGAGTCTCGGCGCGGAGCTCTCTCTCGCGGAACCGCTTCGCGAGAAGCAGCAAGTCCCGCGCTTGCGCACTGCGGCGGTGGCCTGTGGCGCGGTCGGCGTGTGAAGGGGTTTAGGTGGTGTGAAGGCCAGCGCCGCCTCGACCTGTGGTCACCATGAGCGGGACCTTAGCGAAGATCGCGGAGATCGAAGCCGAGGTAAAGGGCGCGCTGGGCGCCTCCCTTCCCAGGCGGTGCCGCTGCTCCTCTGTACCGTCGACGGCGTCGCCCCAGTGCCTGCCACCAACTCCCTCCCGCTCCCTCAGCCCAAGCTCGCACCGCCTCGGCTCCTTGCCCCCTCCCTGAGCGCCTGTGGGCCTGGGCCCCTCAGCTAACATTAGGGGCTCCCTCTTCCACCTCCTGGCCCCACACCTACTCCTTGGCCGGTACCCTATCCGGTATTCAGCGTATGTCTTGCTATTTCTGTTTTTCTTGCTTTTACGCCGATCTCTTCCAGACTCCGTGACGTGATCACATAAAGTCTTGCCTACCCGCCACTCTAATCCCGATGATCCCCCCTTTTGCACGTCATGGATGGTGGCGGTAAAAAAGAAAAAAAAAATTAAAACTAAATCGATTCTACCCGGATAGTGTGTGATGCCTGAGAAGTTCAGGGCTTTTTGATTTGTTTTGTTTTTGAGATAGGGTTTCTCTGTTTAGCTTTGGAGCCTTACCTGGAGCACTCTTTGAAGACCAGGCTGGCCTCGAACTCACAGAGTTCTCCTGCTTCTGCCTCCTGAGTTCTGGGATTAAAATCTCCTTCTGCCTCCAGAGTTCTGGGATTAAAGGCATGCACCACCACCACCCGACGAAGTTCAGGGCTTTTTAAAGTTTGTAAAATGGTAATCCTGTTTTAGACCGGGTCCAATAGAAACGAATCCTGTAGGTGGGTGTTAGTTCCATTTGTGGATAGGAATTGGAGTGACGTGGTGCTATCACGTGGGCTCTCTTTTTCTAGTTGAATCTGGGTTTTCGCCTCCCCTCACTCTTTTTGGAGACAAGATCTCTCTACGGAAGCCCTGGTCGTTCTGGAACTACGTAGACGGGACTGGCCTTGAATGAGAGATAGAGGGAGACAGACAGAGAGAGCCACTTCTGCCTCCAGACTGCTGGCATTAGTCAGTCTTGGATTTTTCTTTTTAAAAAAATATTTAGGCAGTGCTTAGGAGGGAGAGGTAGAGACAGGTGAAACTGTAAATTCAATGCCAACCTGGTTTACATAGGGAGTTCCAGGACCCTCAGGACTACATAGAGAGACTATCCCAAAAATCCACAAATAAATGAAATGAAATGGGCACACTGACATTAGTAGGACCTCGAAAAATAAAAGATTATGCATGCTCTCAGCTTTTGGGAAGATTCGGGATGCTTTCTTTTCTGAAGTGCTGCAGGTTTATGGCTGTGATTCTTCCCTTATTAGATGGCTCGGACTCAAAAGAACAAGGCTACAGCGCATCACCTTGGGCTGCTTAAGGCTCGCCTTGCCAAGCTTCGAAGAGAGCTCATCACTCCGAAAGGTGGTGGTGGTGGTGGGCCAGGAGAAGGTTTGTGATTCCATCTATTGTTTGTGTGTGTGTGTGTGTGTGTGTGTGTGTGTAGTTTCTATTAAACTAATATGTCAGAGGTGTGTGTATATGTATGTATTCATATGCCTGTGAATTATTTATGTTTCTTTTGAGATAGAGTCTCACAGTATAGCTCTTGGCTGTCCTGGAACTCACTATGTAGACAAGGCTGGCCTCAAACTCACAGAGATCCACCTGCCTCTGCCTCCCAAGTGCTGGAATTAAAAACATGCACCAGTACACCTGGCTTCTGTGAATGCTTTTTGTTTTTGTGTAAACCCAATGCTTTGGGTTTCTCTGTAACAGCTCTGACTGTCCTGGAACTCCTCTCTGTAGACCAGGTTGGCCTAGAACTCACAGAGATCTGCTGGGCTCTACCTCCCAGTTGCTGGAATTAAAGGCCACCACCATGTCTGGCTACTTTATTTTTACTTATTTGCCTTTTTTTTTTTTTTTCTCCAATTGAGGTAGATCTTACTGATTCTGGAACTCACCAGTTCAGGTAGACTATTTGTCAAGCTCTGAAGAGCTGCCTGTAAGCCAGCAATGGGTTACAGGTGTGTATAGCTGTTGCTAGGTGTCACAGGTGTGTGTAGCTGTTGTTAGGGGTCACAGGTGTGTGTAGCTGTTGCTAGGCTTTTTTACATGGGTGCTGAGAATCCACAGTCAGGTCCTCATGCTTGTGTGACAGGCACACTGACTTCTAAATCATTAGCCCCATTATTTTTAAACATTTAAAATTTATTTTGTGTATGTAATTAATACTTTCAGCAGGGCAGTTTGTGGTGCAAGCCTTTAATCCCAGGCAGAGCTTGGTGTATCTCTGTGAGTTCAAGACCAGCTTAGTCTACAACACAAGTTCTAGGGCAGCCAGGGCTACACAGAGAAACCCTGTCTCAAAAAACAACAGCAACAACAACAACAACAAACAAATTATTAAAGTCTATTTGTATTTTCTAAGCTTGACATATTTTGTTAGTACTGGGGATCAAACCCAGTACCTCATACATGCTAGGCAGATGTTTTATTACTGTTCCCAGCTCTGAAGCCTAAAGTTTTGTTTATTTATATATTATTGCAGTACTGAGATTTGATCCTAGGGGCCTTGTGCATGTTGGGCAGGTCTTCTACCGCTGAACTACGTGTCAAGTCCTTAAGCCTTAAATCCTGAATTATATATTTTTTATTTTAGTTTTCTGGTTTCAGAGAAAACTGAATATAATGCAAGTAAACAGTAGTTTTATTTATATCTCATGCCCCCAAAAATAGATTTATTGAAATGGATACACCTGCTGCTTTAGTGAGGTTGAAGTAACAAGTTGGTGCAAAGAGGCTGGACTATGAAAGCAGAAATAGTAAATTGGAGAGAGCTGTGATTAGGACGCAAAGGAATGCGGTATATTTTGCATACTTGCTAGAAAGACTCACCAACAGCTCTGAACTTAGTTGCAGCCATTGTTAAAATACAGGGAAGGCCTTAGTTGGTTCAGTGCTTGCTGTGCAGGTGTGAGGACCTGAGTTCAGATCCCAATCCCATGGAAAAAGCTCTTCTCCCAGTGCTAGAAAGGTAGAGGTAGGGTTCCTGGGGTTTTCTGGCCAACAGTCTAGCTGAAGGTGAGTTCCAGGTCTTAACAGGTAAAGTAAAAATTGGTCCAGAATAACATCTGATGTCAACCTCTGGCTTACACATCACAGGCTTAAGAACACAGGCATAGACACACAAAATCCCAAAAGCTGGTAACACAGTACTTGGGACTAGAGGCAGGAGGATTGCAAGTTCCAGTGTAACCTAGACTACTTAAGTATATCCTTATCAAAAAACATGATCACACTATTCTCAGATATAAGATAAAATTCAAACCAGAGTTAAACGCAGAGCTCCAAGTCCACACCCTGTTTGTGTGTGTGTGTGTGTGTGTGTGTGTGTGTGTGTGTGTGTGTTTTGTTTGAGACAGGGTCTCTATGTAGGCCAAGTTGGAATTGACCTTTCAGAGTGCCACCTTGCTTCAGCCTCTGAATTGCTGGGATTAACACTATGTATCACTATGCCTGACTTTATTTATTTTGATATTTTAAATTTTTGTTTGTTTTTGTTTTTTTTCTAAACAGGGTTTCTCTGTTAGCCTTGACTGTCCTGGAACTCACTCTATAGACCATACTGGCCTCATTCACAGGGATCTGCCTACCTCTGCCTCCTGAGTTCAGGGATTAAAAGCATGCACCACCACTACCCAGATGATACTTTAAATTTATATATGTGCTTGGCATAGTGGTGCACACCTTTGATCCCAGGATTGGAAGGAGAGGCAGATAGATCTCTGTGACTTCCAGAATAGCAAGATGTGTATAGTAAGATCCTATCTCAAAAAAACAAAACAAAACAAAAAGTGTGTGTCTGTCTGTCTGTCTGTCTGTCTGTGTGGTTATTTGTATGTATGTGCACCAGTGCTTTCAGAGGCCATAAGAAAGAATCAAATCTCTTGGAACTGCACTTAAAGCTGCTTGATGTGCGTGTTAAGAACCAAGCCAGGGTTTTTACAAGAGCAGCAAAGAGCCATCTCTAATTCCTGTGTTATTTGTTGGGTGAGTGGTTGGGTGTTTTGCCTAAATGTATATATCTATGTACTCTGTGTGTGAAGTGTCCCCGGAGGCCAGAAAAGCATATCAGATCCATTGGATCCTCTGGGACTGGAGTTACAGATCATTGAGGGCTGCCTTGTGAGTGCTGAGGATTGAGTCTGGGCCTCTGCAAGAGCAGTTAGTGCTCCAGCCACAGCATATTGTGGTTTTGAGAGATGACCTCAGATATTCCAGCCTGGCCTCCAAACTTGGGATCCTCCTGCTTTTTACCTCCCAACCACTGGGATTATAGGTATACATCACCATACCTGGCTAACCTTCATTATTTAAATATTATATAAAAATAATTTAATAATTATTATAATTTAATTATAATATAATAATTATAATTTAAGTAATAAAGGATTACCTTGTTTTAATTAAGTACTGCATTAAACTGAATTGTAAATTTTATGCTTGAGTTCTGTTTCAGAAGTAAGCCTCAGAAAGTTAGAGAAACACTAACAAAAATGTGTAAGGACTTAGGTGGGTGGTAATGCATCCAAGGATAACTGCTGTCTTCTGATGTTTGTTAATATTTCAGGTTTTGATGTGGCTAAGACAGGTGATGCTCGAATTGGGTTTGTGGGTTTCCCATCTGTGGGGAAGTCAACTCTGCTAAGCAATCTAGCAGGAGTGTATTCTGAAGTGGCAGCGTATGAATTCACTACTTTGACCACTGTGCCTGGTGTCATCAGATATAAAGGTGCCAAGATCCAGGTGAGTAAGATTCGCGGTCCAAGAAAGGAAAGAAATCCATTTTTTTCATGCATTTCAGGAGCTCTTTATTAGTGATCCACAGTGTGTCAGGCCTCTTGGTTTTTCAAGACAGGGTTTCTCTATGTAGCTTTGGAACCTGTCCTGGAACTCACTTTTTATTTTAGACCAGGCTGGCCTTGAACGCAGAGATCCACCGCCTCTTGAGTGCTGGAATTAAAGGTGTTTGCCATCACTGCCCAACTGGCCCCTCATCTCTTAACAGTGGCTACATTAAATGGTTTAACAGTAGTGTAGTATAATGAAGGGCCTATGAAGATACATTAAATAAAAAACGGGACTACTTCTAAAATCTGATAATGGGGGAAGAACTTCTGAGACAAAGTACAAAGTGACTTTTGGAAGTGAATTTTTAAGATTTTATGTGTACGGGTATTTTGCCTATGTGCATATACTATGTGCACCATGTGCATGACTGGTGCATAAATCCCCTGGAACAGACAGTCCTGAGCTGCCATGTGGATGCTAGGAATTGTACTCAGGTCCTGTAGAGGAGCACCCAGTGTTCTTAACCACTGAACTATTTCTGCAGCCCCAGAAATGAGTCTTTTGAGAAAAGATCTTATATAGTCAAGGCTGGCTTGAACTCCAGGTTTGTCCTTGCTTTAGCCTGTGAGATGCTAGAATTATAAGTGTTTGACGCCACTCTTGGTTGGCGGGGTATCTTGAACTTAGCATATGTTTTTCTATTTTTGTGATAAAACTCCATGACCAAAAGGCAAGTTGGGAAGGAAAGACTTTATTTGGCTTGCACTTCCATATCACTCTTCATCTTCGAAAGAAGTCAGGACAGGACAGGACAGGGCAGGATTCTGGAGGCAGGAGCTGATACAGAGGTCATGGAGGGTGCTGCCTACTGTTTTGCTCCCCTTGGCTTTCTCAGCCTGTTTTCTTACAGAAGCTAGGACCGCCAGCCCAGGGATGGAACCACCTACAATGGGCTGGGCTCTCCCCTATTAATTACTAAAGAAGAGAATGTCCTACAGGCTCACTGATAGCCTGATTTTCTCAGTTCAGATGCCCTCCTTTCAGATAACTCTAACTTGTGTTTTGTTGCCAAGAGACTAGCCAGCGCAGCATAGAATATCTCACCCTAATTTGAGAGTTTCTCTCTCTCTCTCTCTCTCTCTCTCTCTCTCTCTCTCTCTCTCTCACACACACACACGCACGCACGCACGCACGCACACACACGAAACTGCCACTACAATCAGCATAGGGACCGTATGTAGTCAGCCCTTTGTATTTATAGGTTCTACATTCAAGGATTCGACCATGGATTGAGTATATCTAGGAAAGAAATTGGTGTATATATTGTTTATATAGTATTTACTTGTTATTAGTATTAAGTGTAACCTATCGATTGTTTACTGGTATGTGGAAGGATACATATAGGTTATATACAACTATCTTATTTTGCTGTTGTTTTTCTCTTTTTGTTGTTGTTTTTCAAGACAGGTTTTTATTGTGTAGCCCTGGCTATCCTATAACATGCTTTATAGACTAGACTGGCCTTGAACTCAAGAGATCTTGCCTGCCTCTGCCTTCCTCTCTGAAGGCGTAAGTCACAAACAATCCCACACCAGTTTGGAATTAGATTATTAGAGAGGTTATTTATTTTAAGGGGGAAAAACTTTCAGATCACCGTCCCAGACAACAGCCCTCTGCGCAATCAGGAATGGAGCCGGAAGCCAGAGCAAGAGCAGAGGGAAGTGGCCCCTTTTTTAAAGGGAGAGAGACCATGCCCCAGTGGGCTGGCATCTCAGTGGCTATTGGCTAAAGGAGCGGAAGGAACTCCCACAACACCACTCTGCCAAAGATTTATTTGTGTGTGTGTGTGTGTGTGTGTGTGTGTGTGTGTGTGTGTGTGTGTTCTATTTGTTTGAGACAGGGTTTCTCTGTGTAGCTTTGGAGGCTGTCCTGGAACTCACTCTGTAGACCAGGCTGGCCTGAACTCATAGAGATCCCACCTGCCCTTGCCTCCAAAGTGCTGGGCTTAAAGGCGTGCGCCACCACCGCCCAGCATTATTATGTGTTTTGTCTGCACACCAGAAGACATTGGATTCCATGAGACTAAGGTTATATAGTTGATTGTGAGAAGCCATCTAAGTGCTGGGACTTGAACTCAGGAATGCTGGAAGAGCAGCCACTGAACCATCTCTCCAGCCTGTCATTTTTATATAAAGGATTAGAGCACCTCTTGATCTTTGTATCCACAGATAGATGGGTGCGTATGTGTTTTGGGAGGCTGATTTTCCCGCCAATCTTATACACATATTGAAGGACATCTGTCATGTGACTTTTCAGAGTTTTCTTACGCCCCTTCTTTGCTTGCCTCTTCCATTAGTGAGTGATCACTAGTCAGTTTTTGCCACTGCAAATTAGTTTACATGGTAAGAATTTTATGTAACTGAGATGGTTAAGGCGCTTGCCTCCAAGGCTGATGTCTTGCATTTGATCCCTAGGACCCACATAGTAGAAGGAGAGAATTGACTCTTGCAAGTTGTCCTCTAACCCTTAGAGCGTTTTTTTCTCCCTCTTTTTTTTTTTTTTTTAAGATTTATTTGTTTGTTTGTTTATTATAGTGTTCTGTCTGCATGTATTCCTGCAGGCCAGAAGACGGCACAGATTCATTACAGATGTTGTGAGACATCATGTGTTTGCTGGGAATTGAACTCAACCTGGAAGAGCAGCCAGTGCTCTTGACTTCTGAGACATCTCTCTAGCCCTTTCCTATTTTATATTAATTTTTTTATTTTAAAAATAATTTTAAAGTTAAAAAGTATTACACACAATTCTCTTATATTGCTGACTTGCTTCCCTTAATCTTAATTTTTTTTTTTTTTTTTTGTCTTGGCCAGGTTTCTCTGTAGACCAGGCTGGCCTGGAACTCAGAGATCTGCCTGCCTCTGTGTCCTGAGTGCTGGGATTCCAGGCGTGCACCACCACTACCAGGCTGGAAGTGAGTCTTTTTGAGAAAGGGTCTTATTAGTTTTGCAGGAATACTGCAGCAATTATGTTGTGTCTTCATCCTTATCATGGGGCTTGTAATGTTAGTGATGTTGACATTATGTGATGTATATACTGCTCTGTGTTTATATGTGTGTGCACTTACTTGTGTGTGCATGTAGAGATCAGAGATTGATAGCAGAATGTCTTCCTTTATTGCTTTCTGCTTTAACTTTTTGAGACGGTTTCTCACTGAACCTGAATCTGGTTGGTTTTGCTAGACGAGCCCTTGTCTATTGAGCTCTGGGAATTTCCACCCCCACCGTCCTGATGTTATACATGCATACCTCTTTGCCTTGTTTTCATGTGGATTCTGGGGATCTGAATGCAGGTTCTCTTGCTTTTTTTTTTTTTTTTTGAATCAAAAAGGTCTGTAGCCAATCAAGTCCCCATCACTATTTTTTGTTTTCAGACATATTCCTTCTATGCAGATCAACCTGGTTTTGTTTTTTGTTTTGTTTTGTTTTGTTTTTTGTTTTTTTGGATTTTCGAGATGGTTTCTCCGTAGCTTTTTGGTTCCTGTCCTGGAACTAGATCTTGTAGACCAGGCTGACCTCGAACTCACAGAGATCCGCCTGCCTCTGCCTCCCAAGTGCTGGGATTAAAGGCGTGTGCCACTACAGCCCGGCCTTTCGATTATTATTATTATTATTATTATTATTATTATTATTATTATTATTATTATGTATACAATATTCTGTCTGTGTGTATGCCTGCAGGCCAGAAGAGGGCACCAGGCCTCATTACAGATGGTTGTGAGCCACCCTGTGGTTGCTGGGAATTGAACTCAGGACCTTTGGAAGAATGGGCAATGCTCTTAACTTCTGAGCCATCTCTCCAGCCCCTCAACCTGATTTTGAGCTTAAGATTTGTCTTTGCATCTGTAGTGGGAGTTCTAACTGTTTTGATGTTAATTTATGTGAGTTCATTAAGATGGTGTTTGCAGCTGGTCGCTCACACTTAATCCTAGCACTCAGCCAGAGGCAGGTGGATCTCTGTGAGTTCCAGGCCAGTCTGGTCTACAGAGTGAGTTCCAGGACTGTAGGGGATTGTGTTACAGTTGTAGTGTTGCAGAGATATCCTGACTTACAGGGAAGCCAGGCTATACTTAGAGCCCCAATATGACAGCTCTGGAGGGGTAGAGCCCCAATAGGACGACAGCTCTGGAGGCTGGAGCCGTAATATGTCCTATTATGGCTCAGCCCTGGAGGGAAGGTGTCCTGACAATTGGGAAGCCAGGCTACCTGAAGATAGGGTGCAGTGGGGGATGGTCTCCCTGCAGGATATTGGGATCCTGCTCTCCTGCAGAGCCAGTACAGCTGAGCTCTGCTCTGTTCACTTAAGGGAGTGTCCTAGCAGAGCTATCTGCTTCTTCTCCAGCCAAAGATGTTTCTTCTTTGCTAACACTCTGCTAAAGGGGAAGCCCCTGTAGAACTGTAGCAATCTCCTCCTGATCTGTTGAAAAGTTGTTACTTTTTTCTGATCGGCCTTGCTCAGCCCCCTTAAGGAGCGTCCTAGCAAGGTTCTTCTGTTCTCTTCCGCCTTGCTCAGGCCCTTTAGGGAAGCTTCTCAACAAGGTTTTCCAGCTCAGTCAGTCCCATAAGAATGGTTCTTCTAGTCTGCCTAGAGAATGAAGGTCATCCAAGACTGTTTTGGGAAAGAGATTTATTTGGGAAGGAGTCCAGGAGAGTGTTGGCCCCTAACTGAAGGGGGCAGAGAGACTTCTTAGGGGGCAGAGTTTTCCCAGAGAGAAGAGGGATTGGTTAGTTTTAACCTGCTCAGGGATTGCTTAGCTTAGTTGGTCAGGGCAGAGATAGCTCTGACTTTATGGCCAAACTGTGTTTCTTTCACTGGTCCTTTTTAGCTTTTGACTCCAATCTTAGGACCAGGGCATACATATTTATTTCAGTGGCTCTGATTCTGGGGACAAAGTGTGGTTGACACTAGTTTCAGAGTCAGGGCGTGTGTCTTTAGTCCTGGGTTCAGTGATAAAGATGTTTCTTTCCCTGGCCCGGGTCTCAGATCCAGCGTGGTTTTTTTTCTTTTTTCTTTTTTTACTGACTCTGGGTTCAGAGTCAGGGTGCTCAGTGATTGGTTGGTTTCCTGCTCCAGTTGTCTCTTTTACCTTATAAGAACAGCAAGTGACCCTGTCTGAAACAACCATAAGAAAAAAAAGAGGACAAGTGATAGATGGTGTTTGCAGAGCTTCTGAACAGAGATGTTTTCTTTACAAATCTAGTTACTAGTTCAGGGAAGATACTCTGAGAAAATCCACATTCCAATTCTGATTCTCATGCTTTCATTTTATTATTAAAATTATTTATCTTTTTCATGTGTTTTCCTGCTTGTGTGCGTGCGTACCATTTGCATGTCTGTTGCCTGAAGAGTCATAAGAGGTTGTTGGAGTCCCTGGAAGTGGAGTTATAGATGGTTTCAAGCCACCATGGGGGTGCTGGAAAATGAACCAGTGTCCTCTGCAAGAGGAGTTCTCTAACTGCCTAACCGTCTCTGTATTGTTACAGTGTTTGTATCTCCTGTGCAATCAAGCACATTCCTTAAACTTTTGTCTACTCATTGTGGTGTCTGTTTTTGCAACAATTGTTGCTGTTATATCACTTTGCCTAATGGTGACATTCAGTTCTTTCCATTACATTTGTTAATTGGATTTCTGTATGAAAGAGCTGCCCTTCTTTTACTTATACAATAATTTATAACAATGTAGGATTATGGATATTTTATTTTATGTGTTATAATTCAGTACTATTAGCTGGTAAATGGTGGTGCATGCCTTAAATCCTAACACTTTGGGAGGCAGAGGAGGCAGATCTCTGAGTTTGAAGCCAGCCTGGTCTACAGAGTGATTTCCAGGATAGTCAGGGCTACACAGAGAAACCCTGTCTTAACCCACCCCCAAAATTCAGTACTATTATTACTTAGGTTTTACCAGCTTTGACCATTAGAAAATTCCTTTTGTTGTCTCCTTATGTTTTTTACATAAGCCCTCACCTTGTTTCCTTTTTCTTTGGGGATGTGGTTTTCTAGGTAGGCTAAGCTGGCCACAAGCTCAGTGGCCTGCTTTGCCTTTGCCTCTTGTGTGCTGGGATTGTAGTGCGATTTGTTGAACAGATTCAAAATCATAAGACAAGGTGCAAAAGGATGTCATGGTCAAGATGATGTAATGTGTGCTTGCTTACTCTTATTTTACCTAGTCATGTAGTATTTTATGTAGTTTGCATGTGTATGCATGGTGTGATGTGTATGTATATACACTTGTTTGTGGGCATGTGTGTATGGAGGACAGGTATCTTCGCCATTCATTCTCCCCCTTATATGTCAAGGCAGGGTCTTTTACTAGAAAACAGCTTCCCATTCAGCTAGTCTAGATAATCAGCTTGCAGTGGGAAGTAGCCTGTAGCTGACCTTTAGTATATGCTAAGGGAAATAGCATTCTCGCATCACTTACTAGTGAGGAAGATTGGATCGGATAAAATGGGTGTTTTGGTACTTGCAATTTCAGAACTTAGAAAGTGGGTGGAGGTATGGAAGGTCCAGAAGTTCAAGGTCATCTCAGGTACTTACTGATTTCAGGAACAACTGGGATTCCATAATACTCTGGGATCTCAAATATGGGGGTGGGGTGGGGGGATGTCTCTGTGACCACCAAGCCTGGGAAAGTAAGGATTCAAATGAAGCAAAAAGGAAATCTAACCTGTGGTGGTGCACACCTTTAACCCCAGTACTTGGGACACAGAGACAGGGAGTTAGAGGCCAGCCTGGTCTACAATGTGTATAGCCAATGCTACACAGAGAAACCCTGTTTTGGTAAAAGAAGAAGAAATTTCAGTTCAACACTTAAGAGCTGGTTTCAAACTTTTTTTTTAATTTAAAGATTTATTATATATTTTATGTATGTGGATGTTTTGTCTGCATGTACTTTTGCACATCAGAAGGGGGCATTGGTTCCTCTGAGACTACAAATATAGACGTTTGTGAACTGCCACCATGTGGGTGATAGGAACTGAACTCACAACCTCTGAAAAAGCAGCCAGTGCTTATAACCACTGAGCTTCTGGTTCAAACATCTAGAGTTTCACACTGAGTGATTTATATTAAGCGTAATTAAACAGTACCATTTGGAAAAACATTTTCTGATGTAACGTAGTTCCCTGTGCACACGGAAGCATATTACATCAAAAGTCTTCTCAAAGATGGATTCTGGAGATAGGCTGCCTGTATTATCTTAAGGGCCTAGGGGAAGATCTGGTGTGATCTGGTTGTCTGGGCTATCAGCCACCTCTGGTCCTACTTGTGGGAGTTTGGTATGACCTGGCCCTACAGATAGTGCAAAGACCCCCAGGCTCTTAGCCACCTCTTTCCCCAGCCTTCTAGGCAGAAAACATCTTTTCCAAACAGACAGCCCTGCGTGTTTAACATTCCTGGTCTCCCTAGTGATACCTGTGAGCACAAGGATCTCTGCTCCCAGCACAATGAAAGGTTGGATTTGGGTCTCATAAATTTTGGAGACCAGAGAAATAGTGGTGTTCAAAAGAGGATACTTGTCAGTATGATTGATCCATTCACACTTATAACCAGTTCCTTTTCCCTGTTCTTAATCTTGCAGCTATTGGATCTCCCAGGTATTATTGAAGGTGCCAAGGATGGGAAAGGCAGAGGTCGTCAAGTCATTGCAGGTGAGTGGTCTGGGGCTGCCGTCTGCAGAGACTACAGGTAACTTCTGTTGGATAGCAATGGTCTAGTTCTTCACCTCTGTAAGTTCTGGACATTTCAGATGTCATCTTTATTAATTTTTTTCCAGTGTGGGTTTTTTTTTTTGTTCAGTAGAAATCTTTAATTTTGATAGATTCTAATTTGCCTTTAAAACCTTTTTAGGTTTATTTTATATGTTTTGTTCATAAGTAGTGCTTAGCCTGCATTGTGTGTATGTGCCCCACATGTCTGCCTGGTCCCTGAGGAGGCTGGGGAGGTGGTTGTATCCTCTTGAACTGGAGTATACAAGTGCCTGCCACCATGCCTAGCCTGGTTTTGTTTCTTGCTGTTTTGTTTTTTGTTTTTTTGTGCATGAATTCTGGGATCAAACTCAGGTCCTGATACAAGTACTTTACCTACTGAACTATCCCCCCAGCCTTGATGTTTTATAAATCCATACCTCCTTAGTTTTGTTCATTTTTATTTTTGTGTGTGTTTTGTCTGTGTGTGTAGCTCAGTGACCATGGAGGTCTGAAGAGAGCACATTGGATCCCTTGGAACTGGGATTATGGATGGTTCTGAATGCCAGGAACCAAATCTAGGTCCTTGGCAAGAGCAGCATGTGTTCTCAACCATTGAGTCATCTCTCTGGCCCAGACTTAGATTTTTTTTTTTTTTTTTAATTTGGGGATTCTTTTTTTTTTTAAATATTTATTTATTATGTATACAATATTCTGTCTGTGTGTATGCCTGCAGGCCAGAAGAGGGCACTAGACCTCATTACAGATGGTTGTGAGCCACCATGTGGTTGCTGGGAATTGAACTCAGGACCTTTGGAAGAGCAGGCAATGCTCTTAACCGCTGAGCCATCTCACCAGCCCCAGACTTAGATTTATGATGCGTTTAGTGCTGTAACAGATTATGTCACATTAGAAGAAGGGAATATTGATTTTGATTTGCTGTTTTAGAGCTGTCAGTCCAGTATGTCAGGGAGGAGCTTACATTGGTCAGAAGAGAGGTGGAGGGAAGTAAAGAGGATGAGAGAGGGGATGGTGTGAATGACCAGTGAGTACACAGAAAGATTCAGCATTGTTGGTCATTGCCACCACGGAGAGCAGTCATTAAATACTGGTTAGTAACACCACTGCCTGCGGGAAGGGTGTGAGGTACTCCGCTAGTGGGAATATAAACTTAGAAACACTCGGTCACTTTTATTTGTGATGTGCAACAGTTTCACTGGTGTCTATCTAGGAAAAATGAAAACATAACAACAGACTTAGGCATGAGCATTCTCCCCCTCCCCACCCCAGGGTTTCTCAGCGTAACAGCTCTAAGTGCTCCAGAATTTGCTTTGTAAACCAGGTTGGCCTTGAACTCACAGAGATCTGATTGCCTCTGCCTTCCAAATATATGATTGTTTATATAGACTCAAATTATGCTCTCAAATTGAAAATAATATATATATATTCCTCCATAGGTGACTAGCAGGTAATAGTTTACTACTCAGTTATAAGACACAAGTTTACTGATAACAAACACAATGTGCTTGAATATTAAGAAGTGCTAGGAGAAAAGATTTAAGCAGAAAAGAGGACATTTTTATTTTACTCTATTTATGTGGAATTTTAAAAAGTAAAACTTCCCACGATGCTAGAAAGTGCTTGGCAAGGAAGTGGTCTAAAACTGGTGTAACTTTCCAGGGTGATTTGAATGTTCTGTATGTTTTGACTGACTTTTTTTTTTTTAAAGATTTATTTATTATGTATATAACATTCCATGTATGCTTGTATGCCAGAAGAGGGCACCAGACCTCATTACAGATGGCTGTGAGCTACTATGTGGTTGCTGGGAATTGAACTCAGGACCTCTGGAAGAGCAGTCAGTGCTCTTAACCTCTGAGCCATCTCTCCAGCCCCTGACTGACTTATTTTTGACAGGGACTCTCATAGTCTAGTTGTCCTGATCTTCATGCTGGGATTGCAAGTGTCCACCACCACACCTGTCTTGACCATCTTGACACTGTATCTTGACGAGTGTGCTGATATCATTAAATCATCTGCTAAACAGATACAGTTTGTTTTTGTAAAGTGTAGTTTGATAAGGCAGATTAAATGTATGTTACTTGAGAACTGGAGAGATGATTCAGTGGTTACGAGCACTGACTGGCCTAATAGAGGATCCAAGTTTGATTCTGAACACCCACATGGTAACTTACAACCCTCTCTCTCCAATTTCAGGGGATCTTCTGGCCTTTGTGGGATATTTGGGCAAACACTTAACACCAAATCAAAACCAAACCAAATACATGACTGTGCTCATGTAATACAGATAATGTAGTCTGGATTTTATTTTAGAGTGTGGATTTTAAGGTTTATTATTTTAAATGAGTTTGTATTTTAAAAACATTTCTAAGTTTCTTGGTAGTTTATCCCTCAGCTGATATCTTTAGTGTGACTGTCTTACTTATGTTAAAGACGGGCCACTTTTCGGGGGATGGTTTGACAACTTTAAATCATGCACTACGGATTGATAGCTAGTATAAATCTTTGGTAACTTTCACATTTTATCTGTATATAAGAGCAAGAAAAAAAATCTCAGTCTGGGGTTAGATAGAAAACACCTCAATTTGAGTTTTTGGGTTGGTAAAGGCTGTTTGCATTCAACTTAGGGTGTCATTTTTACCCCCAGTGGCCCGAACATGTAATTTGATCTTGATTGTTCTGGATGTCCTAAAACCCTTGGGACATAAGAAGATAATTGAAAATGAGTTGGAAGGCTTTGGGATTCGCTTGAACAGCAAGCCCCCCAACATTGGCTTTAAGAAGAAAGACAAGGGAGGCATTAATCTCACAGCCACTGTAAGTGGGGAAGATGACATGGGTAGAGAACCGACTGGAGGGTTGGCGTGAAAGGGGATTCACATGTGCAGAAATTGATAACTTGAAACTGTTCTCCTCTTTTCCTGTTCTCATTGAGATAATTCAGTGACCTTGTATTAAAAGATAAGAAAAACAAGGTCTAGACAGGAGTCATCCTCAGACTGACTTTTTCAAGCATTTGGAACAATATTCCCATGAAGTAGCTCCCAGGGCCCTGTGCTCTCGTTTATCATTTACTTATACAGCCCTGACCAGAGACCAAGCATTAGCTTACGCTCTGGAGGTGGCGCCAGGAAGGCATGGAGTAGTCGAGAACCCTCATTTTTGGGTAAATGAACAATTAATGAGAAAGATGCAGTGTGTTAGATTAATAAAGCAGGGAAAGGTGAGGAAGCTGTGTGTTCCCCACCTCCCCCGACTGTGTTTCATGTATCTCAGGGTGGCCTCAAATTTACAATGTAGCTGGGAATAATCTTGAACTTCTTATACTCCTGCTTCTGCCTCCTGAGAGCTGGGAGGACAGATGTTTCCCAGCATGCTTGGTTTCTGGGGTTTCTCGGGATTGAATCCAGGGCTTTGTGCATCCTAGGTAAACATTCTACCCGCTTAATTACAGCCCCAGACTAACAACCCTGCCTGTCCTGGAACTCACTCTGTAGACCAGGCTGGTCTAGAACTTAAGATCCGCCTGCCTCTGCCTCCTGAGTGCTGGATTAAAGACTTCGGCTACTATGACCCACAGGGTTACCTTTCTAAGTTCACAGAAACACTGGCTGAGGTGACATGAGAACGGCAGCCAGTGAATATCTTGGGGAAGGCTGTGTGTTGGAGAGGAGAACCAAGTGTAAGTTCCTGAGATTGAAACATGAAAGCAGCAGAATGAACAAGCTAGAAATGAGCACCTTGCATAATATTCTGACCTGTGGAATGACCTTGACTGCCTTTTGTTTTGTTTTTGGTTTCTCTGAAGTTTTTTTTTTTTTTTTCATTTTTGTTTCAAGTGTTTTGCCTGCATATGTGCATATCATGTATGTGTGGTGCCTAAAATGCTTTTGTTGTTGTCTTTTTTTTAATATTTATTTACTTATTATGTATACAATATTCTGTCTGTGTGTATGCCTGCAGGCCAGAAGAGGGCACCAGACCCCATTACAGATGGTTGTGAGCCACCATGTGGTTGCTGGGAATTGAACTCAAGACCTTTGGAAGAGCAGGCAGTGCTCTTAACCTCTGAGCCATCTCTCCAGCCCGCTTTTGTTGTTTTTATTCTTTGCTCTTTTGGGGGGCCCACCACCCAGCCCCAAATAATCACATATGGAGACTTAAGAATAACTTGTGAATGTCCGCCCTTAGTTTAGTTTCAGCTTTTCTTAAATTATCTCGTCTACTTTTTGCCTCTGGGCTTTTATTGTTCTCTGTTTTACTGTTCTCTGTGTTACTGTTCTGTATATCTTTTCTTTCTTTCTTATTCCTTGTCTATTTGTGTAACTGGGTGGCTGGCCCTGAAGTCCTCTCCCTTCTCTTGCTTCTCTGATCTGTCCTTTCAGACCAGATTTCTCCTTCTATTTATTCTCTCTGCTTGCCAGCCCTCCTGTCCTTTCTCCTGCCTTACTATTGGCTGTTCAGCTCTTTATTAGGGCAATCAGGTGTTTTAGATAAGCAGCGTAATACAGCTTCACAGTGTTAAACAAATGCAACATTAAAAGAAGGCAACTCATTTTTGCATCATTAAATAAATGTTCCAGAGCATAGACAGATGTAACACATCTTACACTAATATTCCACAGCACTGAAAAGACTGAAAGAGGGTATCAAATACCTGAAATTACAGACAGTTGTGAGCTGCTATGTGGGAGCTGGGGGCTGAAACTGGGGCTTCTATAAGAGCAGCAAATGCTCTTAACTACTGGGCCATCTCTCTAGCCCCATGTTTAACTTTTATAATTTTTAGTGTTTTGAGACAAGGTCTTTTATATACCAGGCTGGCCTTATATAAAACTTCTGATCCTCTTTCTTCCACTTGTTAAATGTTAGAATAACAGACACATGCTTTACAGCAGACTTGACTTGTGTGTTGAATTGGTCTAAGAGGTTATTCCGGTGCTGCTGTTAAGAGCTGACGGCCTGGAGAGTGCTGTCATCTTCCTGTCAGCTCAGCAGTTTGGAAGTTGAGACAAAGCAGTTGTGGGCCTGTCTCAAAAACAAAAGGCTTTTCCCAGCTTCGTGGCTCACCTTTAATGCCAGCACCCAGGAGGCAGAGGAAGGCAGATCTCTTAAGTTCTAGGACAGTCAAGGCTTCACAGAGAAACCCTGTCTTGAAAAACAAAAAACAAAGAGAAGGTTTTTTTTTCCCATTATTTTATGCATATGGCTGCCTTGCCTGCATGATACATTAGTGCCCTGCTTTGTGCCTGGTGCAGAGGCCAGAGGAGGGTTCTTTGGGCAGCATCACACTATGAAGCTGTAGCTGCCCTGGAAGTCTCTGTGGAGACCACATTGACCTCGAACTCAAAAAGTCCTGCCTTTCACTGCCTGCTGATTCTGTCCTTAAAGGACAAGCTAAGCAATGACTTCTTTAAAAAAATAAAAAAGAGGAGAGGGTCAGGTAGGAGTGGTGAGGTGGGGTGGGGTGGGCAACACACACCAGGTGTTTTGTGGCGGTTGGAGGTCGGAGGAGAGGCTGCAGAAGTCCGTTCTCTCAGCCATGTGGGTCCTCAGAATGGCAGCAGGCCCCTTTCCCTACTGAGCATCTTACCCTGAAAACTGCATTTTCTTTTTTAAAATTATGTGTATGGTGGACAGTGGTGGCGCACAGCGCACGCCTTTAATCCCAGCATGTTGGAGGCTGAGGCAGGCACTTCTCTGTGAGTTCGAGACTACCTTGGTAAGAAAGAAAACGGTTTAAGATAAAGTGGGAGAAGGAAAACCGGAGAAAATTAGACTGTCGGAGATCCAATAAAGACAGTCTTTCTGACAGAATGGGGGCGAGCAGCTTTATCAGTTGCTGCTGTTTTGGTCAGTGAATTAAGGTCTTAGAATTTCCTGAGTTCAGATTAAAATAGGTTTAAGCTCTCTTTTCTGAAAGATCTTCCTGTTTATTTTGCCATGATACCTGACCTTGAGAGTTCTTTGAATTAGTGTGCTATAATTTGTTCATAGCTATTTGGTGGCTTGATGGACAAAGGTGATTGCTAGATTGATATTGAATTAGGACTTTACCTTAATATCCTGTTCTAATTATCTTCTTAAAGATGGTGTCATCGATGATTGTAACATAAGACTTGAGTGTATGAATTATGGGGACTGGGCTGTGTGCAGGACACAGCACATTTTACACCTGCCTGAGTTTAGAAAGCTTTGTAGGTCTACTGTAAGTTAGTTACTCTTGTCAGGGCAATGTAGTGAGTTTACATTTTGGCTAGAAGTTTTCAGGCACAGGGCTGGGATGTAGCTCAGTAGGTAGGATGCTTGCCTAGCATGCACAAAGCCTTGTTTAGTTCACAGTACCACATTGACAGAGCCTGGTATTGCATGTCTGTGATCCAAGCACTTGGGAGTTAGTTATACTTAGGAGGATCTAGATCATCCTTTGTTTGAAAGCAGTCAAAAAGAGAAAAGTACAGAGAGACTGGATATGATGGCACCTGACTTTAATTCCAGCACCCACACAGAGACAGGTTGATCTCTTTGAGTTCCAGGACAGGCAGAGCTACATAGTAGGACCCCTGTCTCCCAATGAAGAAGAGTACATGGTCCCCATCCTCCCTGACTGGTCCTTTTTTCTCTCCATCCAGTGCCCTCAGAGTGAACTAGATGCTGAAACAGTGAAGAGCATTCTGGCTGAGTACAAAATTCACAATGCTGATGTGACGTTGCGGAGTGATGCCACAGCGGATGACCTCATTGATGTGGTCGAAGGAAACAGGTGCTTGGTGTGTTGTGACTGGGAGACTGACAGTGGTTAGGTAGGGACTGAGTAGCACATGCGGGTTGAAGTTCATTTTTGACTTCTTCCTTGCTCTGCAGTTTGATTAAAGATGGTGTTATTCCCTGCTCTGGTTACTTGCTGCTTACTTAAGCTCTTCTGTCAGCAGTAGTTGGTCGGGTCAGTCCACTCTCTCCAGTTACGACTACTTGAGCCATCATATAGGCCACCTTGCACAAATCAGAGCACCAAGATGTGTCTCTTCCATGCATCCTAACTGTATGTGGCTGAACACTTGTTTTATGAAACACTGTTACTGTTAGCACTTGAGTAATTTTTTTTTTTTTTGGTTTTTCGAGACAGGGTTTCTCTGTGGTTTTTGGAGCCTGTCCTGGAACTAGCTCTGTAGACCAGGCTGGTCTCGAACTCACAGAGATCCACCTGCCTCTGCCTCCCAAGTGCTTAGCACTTGAGTAATTTAAACCACTTTGTTGAAGTTATTCCTAACATTAACACAGAATCTTTTTATTTTTTTTTTATTCGAAGAATTTAAGTCAAATGGAAACAAATGAGTGCAGTTGGACAGTTTACGAGTGAATCACCTGAGTCTGAGAAGCTGCAGCTTGCGTGACTACTGGTGATCTTAACTGTTGCACTGATTGGACACTAGGACTATAATAGTGCTAAATGCTCTACTTAAAGCCAGACAGCGGTGGCGCACGCCTTTAATCCCAGCACTTGGGAGGCAGAGGCAGGCGGATCTCAGTTCGAGGCCAGCCTGGTCTACAGAGTTCCAAGATAGGCTCCAAAAAGCTACCCAAAGATAAACCCATGATTCCTTCCTTCCCTTCTTCCTCCCTCCCTTTCTTCTTTTTTTTTTTGTTTTTGTTTTTTTTTTCTTTGACACAGGGTTTCTCTATGTACCTTAGAGATCCACCTGTCTCTGCTGAAACTAAAGGTGTGTTACCACCACCAGTACTCAGCATATATACCTGTAATTTCTATGTTCCTTTCAGCCAGTGCTGGACTTTGTGCATGGTAGGGGAGACTGAATCATGAGTTATAGCTCCAGCTCACAACACTTTTTAAACACTAAACTTTTTTTGGGGGGGGGTGGGGGTGGGGGTGGAAGGGTTGAGACAGTAGCTCACTATCTGTCCTGGAACTCTGAGTTGATCATTAAGCTTCCCCTTAACTTTTGGTGATGCCCCTTCCTCTGCCTTCCAGTGCTAGGATGGCAGGCATGTGCCACTATGTTTTGTCTTCTTTAGAAACAAAGAAAAAAATTAATTCCAAGGACTGACATTATGTTTGAAACTGGGGCCTGAGTTTTTTGTTATTTTACAATCTATAATTCAGATTTTGGACTTTTACTTTTATGTGTATGTGTCTGCACCAGTGTGCAAGTGCCCAAGCAGGCCAGAAGAGGGTGTCCACCCACTGGACTACAGATGCAGTGTGGGTGCTGGGAACTACTAAGTCCTCTGGGAGAGCCAGGGCTCCTGTCTGCTCAGCATCATGCATACTGTGGGTTTATGTTTGTAGTGGTGTGTGTCTGTGTCTGTGTCTGTGGGGGGGGGGCGGTATTCTTGAGTGCGTGTCATGGTCCCTACTTAGAGGTCGGAGGACACTTTGTGAAGTTTGTTCTCTCCTTGCACCTTAGTGAGTTCTAGGATCATCCTGGGTTCAGGTTTGCTGGAAGGTGCTTTGCCTGCTACTTCCTGTAAATGGACGGTGCTGATGGCTTTTGAGGCCTCTGACAGGGCCTCAGGTGGGGGAGTGCTAAGTATTCAGGCTGTTTTATCAGCAGCTCCAAGTTAATAACTTTTCTTCTTCTCCTCTGTAGAGTTTATATCCCCTGTATCTATGTATTGAATAAGATTGATCAGATCTCCATTGAGGAATTGGATATTATCTATAAGGTGCCTCACTGTGTGCCCATTTCTGCCCATCACCGCTGGAATTTTGACGACCTGTTGGAGAAGATCTGGGACTATCTGAAACTAGTGAGAATGTGAGTCCCAATGGTGGCGTCGGGGCTCCTTAACAGAATGTGTCTGTTTCAGAGGTGGAAGTAGCCTGCTTCCTATTGAGGAGATTGGAGGTCACCTGGCCTGTTGGCAGAGGTGGTAGAGGGTCGTGTATATTCAACACATAGCAGCCTGTCTTTCCTCTGTTGCAGTTACACCAAGCCCAAAGGCCAGCTACCAGATTACACCTCCCCGGTGGTGCTGCCATACTCCAGGACCACGGTGGAAGATTTCTGCATGAAGATTCACAAAAATCTTATCAAAGAATTTAAATAGTAAGTATCATGACATGTGGTACTTCCCTGTGAGTTACCAGTTTCACTAATAGTAGTAGTAATTCTTAGAGGAGGATTACAGAAACCAGGTAACAAAGATGCCGCTGAAGGGATTTCTTGAAGGGACCCCCCCCCCTTTTTTTTTTAAATAATTTGTATGTACTATGTATCCCTGGCTGGCCTCTGCTTCCTGACAACTGGGATTATAGGCTTTTGCCAACATGACCGCCTTCCCTCTTGATGTTTATTTTTATTTCATGTGTGTGTGTATATACCTTAGTATGTATGTGTACCACATGTGTGCAGAGCCTAGAAGGCATTATCAGATCACTTGGAATTACAAGGAATCAAGCTTGGGTTCTCTGAAAGAGCAGCATATACTTCTAACCTCTGAGCCAGCCCCTTCTCAGTGTCTCCTTAAAGCCAAGCCTACCTAACTGGAGCAAGAGAGTTCCAGAAGCCTCTTTAGTTTAGCTCAGGAGTGTTTGCTGGGACTCAGTTTCCTGCTTTGCCCTCCCTCACTCACCTTCCATTTGGCAGATAATGATTTTAGGGCATGGCCAGTGGCTTAGTGGATATGAATGCGTGCACTGAAAGCAAGAAGACCTGGGTTCAAATCCCCTGCTCTCACATAAAAACTGCTTGGCCCCAATTGCCTGTAAGCCCAGCATTATTGGTTAGAAACTGGGGGTGCTGGAAGCTTCCCTGGGTCTTCTGGAGTGCACCTAACTGCTCAGCCATCTCTTTTGTTTTGTTTTGTTTTGTTTTTCAAGACAGGGTTTCTCTGTGTAGTCCTAGCTGTCCTAGAACTCACTCTGTAGACCAGGCTGGGCTTGAATGCACTCAGATTTGCCTGCGAAGTACGCCACCACTCTTGGTCCAGCTCCGCTGTTTTGCCTTCAGTTGACTATGGAATGAGAGCAGTTCTGAAAGCATTGTCTTGGTGTATGAAGTCCCAGTGTGCGACACTACTGTGGAAGTAGCTTTGAGTGTCCCAGTTTGGAAGAAGGCTTTTGTCTGTTGTAGGTCTGTGTCTTAAGAGCTAGGATGCTCAGTCTGCTAAGACTGGAGCCTAGGCAACTAGAGCTAAAGCTGGTTGTTACTGCCACTGACTGCCTTTATTCCTTTTGCTACAGTGCTTTGGTCTGGGGTCTCTCTGTGAAGCATAATCCTCAGAAAGTGGGTAAAGACCATACATTGGAAGACGAGGACGTCATTCAGATTGTGAAGAAGTGAACCTGCCTTCCCCTTCTGCTGGCCAGCCACAGCAATGTTCCTTAGCACCAAGTACCCTTCTCAACCTTCTGTATTTAGCAGCCATTGGATTGGGGTACAGGAGTGGAGATGAAGACTCCAAAGTAGAACATCATTTGTCTTTGGTGGGGGTGGGGGTAGGGTCCCATTTATTTCAGGCTGGCCTTGAACTCTGTAGCTGAGGCTCACCTAGAATTCTTTATCCATCAATTTCCATCTCCCAAGTGCTGGGCTTGCCAGTGTGTACCAGCATCTCAGCAACATTGCCTTTCTTACCTTGGTGTCACATATCTTGAACTGTATAAAAACTCTGGTGGGCCCATTGGCTGTCTGTCATTGTCAGATTTGCTGTGGGAGGTGTGGCCTCCCACGAACTCCCCTTTGCTCAGGCTTGCCCTCCTGCTGCCCTAGAGTGGACTCTTCCCTTTCTTTGGGTTCAGCACTGTCCTCTGGTGCAGGTCGGCTCACCTGTCCCAGGCCAGTCACTCTTCAGAACACAAACTGGTGTCTGTCACTGGACAGTCACTGATGGGTATAACCAAAAGCCTACCAAACACAACAAGAAAGAATTGACTTTCAGGGCTAGGGGATTTCTAGCTAGGTTTGTCCTCCAGTGAGAGATTCCTCAAGCAAAGCAAGATTCACTTTGCTTAAACATGTTCAGGATGCTGACGAGAGGACAGTCCCAATCCTATGCGAGGCCTCAGTTACCCCTCCCCCAGTTGCCAGCCCCACACACCTTGAGAAGTTGTCCTTTAGGCTGGTGTGGCAAATGCCTACAATGTTCTGTTTGGATAGAAGCAGAAGGGTTAGCAATTTGAGGTCATGCTTAATGACTTGCATAGTTAAAGCTGGCTTTATGGAGAAATGCTGTCTCCATCCCCCAAAACAAACATGAGCTTACCTTTCCCCTCTTTGGGTCTTAGACTTGATGGTCTGAAGAGAAGAGGTAGCTAGTGTCAGGACACTGGCTGGGAAAGTGCTGCCCATGGCTAGCATCTGGGTCAGGTGTTGCCAGGTTCTTGGCCTCTTATCCAAAGAATTGAAACCAAGGCCTTCCAGGGATTTGCACTTCAAGGTAACTCCGTTTGGAGCAAAGCAGTAGTGTAGATTATCGAGGGATACACTGTGAGGAGTACTCAAGGACCCAAGGCTACAGCCTAGGCTCTCAGGGTGTCTTGAAAAAAAAAAAAAAAGGACTGTGGGAGAGAAATGGGAGGAGGTAGAAATTTTTAATAAAAGTTTAAAAAAAGGAGGGTTTGGGGTTCTCTATCTAGTTTGTTTTGAGACAAGGTCTCTGCAGTCCTTGACTGTTCTGAAACTAGCTTTGTAGACCAGGCTGGTCTTAAACTCACAGACACTATCCTACTGCTTCTACCTGACAAAGTGCAAAATTCAAGGCAAATGCCACCATATCTGGCTTTGGGGTTCTCCATTTCATTTATAGGTTGTATATTCAATTTTTCCTATTGTGTATGTCACTTCCCAAATTATATCTGATTCTAGCCATCTGTATGACCAATCATGAATAAGTGTATTAGATTTTCTCTAATAGTTATTTAGAAGACAGTTTAGTTGCATTACTGCATATGCACCCAGAAACAGATTAGACCAGCCCAGCCCTCTATTCATAAACAGTAGGAGTCAGTTACTAGCTATGGGCAAATCCGTATCATTGTTCAAAGATGGGAACATGTGTATCTTGATTCAGGTGAGGGTTTGAAAGGGGTTCTGGGGTAGCTAGGTTTTTTTTTTTTTTTTTTTTTTTTTTTTTTTGGTTTTTCGAGACAGGGTTTCTCTAATTTTTGGTGCCTGTCCTGGAACTAGCTCTTGTAGACCAGGCTGGCCTCAAACTCACGGAGATCCGCCTGCCTCTGCCTCCCGAGTACTGGGATTAAAGGCGTGCACCACCACTGCCTGGCTTAGCTAGGGTTTTTTTGTGTAGTATGTGTAGTTCAGAAACTAGGCTACCAAGTACATTATCACAAGATAGGCATGACCTAAACCAAATAGGGTCTCAGGTTAAACTCTCAGGCTTTACTGCCTCAGTCTGCTGGAGAGGTGTACTTTTTTTTTTTTTTTTCTTCCAGATTTGAAAGTCTCAGCCAGCAGTGGTTTGGTGTTACTTGCCTTTAATCCCAGCACTTGGGAGGCAGAGGCAGTTTCTGTGAGTTTGAAGCCAACCTGATCTACAGAGTTGAGTTCAAGGATACACAGGGCTACACAGAGAAACCTTGTCTCTAGAGGGGAGAAAGAGAGAGAGTGAGAGAGAGAGAGAGAGAGAGAGAGAGAGAGAGAGGGAGGGAGGGAGGGAGGGAGAGAGAGAGAGAGAGAGAGAGAGAGAGAGAGAAGGTTTATGTAACTGGCTGACCTCAAATTTAGAGAAAGCCTCCTTCCTGCCTCTGCATCCTAAATGCAGAGATTAAATGTATATAATCTACACACCCAGTGAGGTGCATTCTTAGAGCCAAAGACCTTTCTCCTGAGGTCTCAAGAGACTGGAGGTGTGAGTTAAACTCATGACATGGGTTTAATTTCCCATTTAGTTTTCCTGGCTTTAGTATAGCTAAGCAGACCCACTATTCTGCACCATTTTTTAGTTAGGCTGCGAAAGCACCATTTAAGACGTAAGTGCTAGGGTAATCATTGAAAGGGCATTTTCATAGAAGTCATGCCTTCATTAGGTCTCTCACCTACCCTACTCACTACAGCTTGGTGGCCTTTTTGGGCAGCTGGCTACCCAAAATCAAAAAATGCTAGAGCCTAGAGTTGAACATCATGCAGGGAATACAGTGATTTTGTTTGAGACAGGCTCTTATTATGTAGCTCTAAGACTATCAATCAGTTTGTTTCATTAAATTGTTGAAGGGACTAGAACTGAAGAACTTTTTTTTTTAAAGATTTATTTATTATGTATACAACATTCTGCTTCCATGCCAGAAGAGGGCGCCAGATCTCATTACAGATGGTTGTGAGCCACCATGTGGGTGCTGGGAATTGAACTCACAACCTCTGGAAGAACAGCTAGTGCTCTTAACCACTGAGCCATCTCTCCAGCCCAAGAACTGTATTTATTCCTGTAAGTGATCTCTGTCTCAAAGAGGCTAGTATCCGTCTTTGAGTAGCCTGACTAGCCTAACTCTTTGTCAATGGACACGTTAATAGAGGGGCAAGGCCTGGCCACTTCTGATCCCTGCTGCCTTCCCAAGGACCCCTTGTTCCTCAGCTGATTTTGGGAAACAACTGTTACTCTCCTCACCTCACTTGCCCTCTCAATCCTGGTTTTCATCTTTTAATATGTAATGGGTATTTTGCCTTTGTGTATGTCTGTGCACCACATGTGTGCCTGGTGACTGCAGAAGCCAGAGGAGGGTGTCCTATGCCCCGAACTGGAGTTAGTTGCGGACGAGAGCCATCATGTGGGTGTTTGAAATGGAACCTGAATCCCCTGGAGGAGCAGATAATGGTCCTCAACTGTCTGAGCCATCCCTCCAGGCCTGAAGGTAGGTTAGTGTGCTTCTCTCACACTTTCAGCTTCTCTTAAACCTTCCACATCTTCCTAGTCTCAAATGCTTCTAAAGTCAGTTATGCATGCCAGATGACCACACTGTTGCTCCAAAGACTCTTTTCCCCAACTGGAATCTCTGGATGTCTACCTTGAGCTGCAGATAATCCCTCATTTCAACCTTATAGAGTAATTGGGTTACATGTATGAGGCATACTTCTGGCTAAGATATCTGATCTCTTTTGCCCCATGCATTTCTGCCTACTTTTCTCTAAGGTTCTTACCTGCTAGAAGACTTTTTTCTCCATTTTTTGAGACTACATTTCAGGTGGGCAAAACTGGCCTTGAACCTCACTACCTAAGAGCTGATTTTGAATTCTTACGATTCTCCCACTTTTCTCCAGTTAATATAGTTTTTTTTTTTTTTTTTTTGAGACAGGGTTTCTCTGTGGTTTTGGAGCCTGTCCTGGAACTAGCTCTTGTAGACCAGGCTGGTCTCGAACTCACAGAGATCCGCCTGCCTCTGCCTCCCAAGTGCTGGGATTAAAGGCGTGCGCCACCACCGCAGGGCGTTAATATAGTGTTAACGGCTGTCTATCTCACTTCTTTATACTTTGAATCTTGCTTGTTCCCTGTGGGCTTTTACCGTGCCAGTTAGTCTGTGCCTTCATTTGTCTCATCTGTTCCAGCAGCTTTAGCCTGCAGAGTAATTCCCTGTGGACAGTTCTTCCTTACCTCACCCCAGCACTCCTGGCTCACATGTCTGTCTACACACCGAGTTTCTCAGTCGGTGAGGGTACCTAATTTAGAAGTAGCAGATTGCCCTCATACTTAATTCACAGCCAGGTTTTGTTGAAAGGCAACCACTTTCTTGTCCTCTGAGAGTAGGCAATTGAAGGATTATAATCAGTATCACTGAGACTCAAGACTTGGGAGCCACAGGTTGTATTAGACAAAATCTAACAGAGTTGAGAGCCACAGTCTATATCCTAAGTTTAGGGCTGGCGACATGGCTCAGAGGTTAAGAGCACTGACTGCTCCTCCAGGGGTCCTGAGTTCAATTCTCAGCAACCACATAGTGGCTCACAACCATCTGTACTGAGATCTGGTGCCCTCTTCTGACCTGTAGGCATAATTGTATACATAATAATACATAAATCTTTAAAAAAAAAAGTTTAGGACTGAAAAACCATCAGGATAACACTATCCTTCAGAAGGCTTTTCCTACAATTTATATAATACTTTAGATTCTAAGTAAAAATTTTGTGTGGAAAGACTAGATACAGTATAGGAGGTGCTAACAAAGCAGAGGCAAGGGAAAGACCAGACATTAACAGGTCAAAATTGAGTTAAACTGAATTAACAAGGTGGAATAGTAAGTTTCAGAGAAACTATCACATACATGATTTCCCCAACAGATTTTCATGTGGTCAATTTGATTTTGAAAAGGGTAAATATTGATATCCTTGAGGTTTAGCCCAACTTAAACTAATGCGATGGGAACTTTACATGCAGGAAAAGTATAGAACTTGTAAGTCAGAATGTGAAAGAGAAACTACTAAGGATGTGGCACTGAAGTGTTAGAAACAAGTGACTCATGGAGGAAATAAACACAGAACCAGTCATTTTGTTCACACACGTGGCATATGCAACTTTTAATAAATCAAAAGTCCCAAATATACAAGTGAAAAAAATTCCAAACAGTTGACACAGGCCTAACTAATAGCTACTTTATGTACAGCTGTATAAGTTCAAAAAAGCTATCCTATACGTATGTACAAAAGTTTATACACAGGTCTGTACATAAGGGTCTATACATTTTTTTTTTCAGAACCCTTAGGTGTCACCTCTAGAAGACACCAACACTTCATTCACATATTTTATAAAAGAAAGATTTCAAGGATTGATAATATTGTGTCCCTTGTATTTGGACCATGTAAGCTCCATTTGATTGGTTGACAACCTCATAATGTAGATCACGGTAGGTATGTGGGTCCCTTCACAATGTGCTCCAATGTAAAAGCCCATAAAGATAGGGAATGAGCATCATGGCCAGGATGCTACCATAGGTCCAGATGGGTAAGCTTGTCTGTCCCGCTCACTGTCTGTACTCCAGTTCATCTACACTGATGACTTTGGTGGGCATAGAGGGCAGAGGCTGCTGTAGCACATCTGAGCCAAACCATTTTGCAAGGCCCACAGGGGAGCTGCTCCTTTGGCTGGTACGATGCTCCATCTGGGAGTGCATGTGGGGCAGGCCTGATCTGCTGGGCACATTAGGAGTCTGAACATTGATAGCTGCTGCCTGGGAACCAGAGCCTGGAGGATGCAGAACTATGGAGAGAAGAGTGTCACCTGGTGCTGTACAAGGAAACTGCTCACATTCCACCCATTTCTATATTTACAGATCTAATAAGAGGGCCCTTGGGACTGGAGAGATGGCTCAGAGGTTAAGAGCACTGACTGCTCTTCCAGAGGTCCTGAGTTCAATTCCCAGCAACCACATGGTGGCTCACAGCCATCTGTAATGAGATCTGGTGCCCTCTTCTGGCATGCAAGCATACATGGAAGGAATGTTGTATACATAATAAAATAAAAATAAATCTTAAAAAAAAAAAAGAGGGCCCTTGGATACTCCCAAATACTACTGATAGTACTTTATGGCCTACTTTGCTGCAATAGTTTCCTGTTACTTTCAGGGGTGGGGTGTCTACCAAAGGATTTACTGCAGGGTTCCCTAAAAAAAATGCAGAATGCTAGATGACTTTATATAGGAGAGCTAATGCACTCCGAAACCAGTGCTATAAACCCACCAAGGCTGACCTGACTACGTCAGAATTATCAGCCTTCAAAGGGGTGAAGTGAACGCCAAAGCATTCCTAGCTTCCATGGTCCTCGCAGCCATAGATGGCATGATCAGTCCCCTTCCCCCGTTTCTCTAGGGACACCCGTACCTACTAGAACCAGCTAAGGGACGAGGAGTTGGTGATAAGTAACTGCTATTGGAAGTATCTCAGAAACGTCAGTGTGGGCAGCTAGCCTGGCTCATTGCTGAACCTTACCTGAGCGCTGCAGCTGCTGCTGCATCATTGCCAGGTGCAGAGGGGTTCCAGGGCGAGGGTTTAGGAGAGGGTGACTAGCAGCAGAGAAAGGGTACAAGGGTTGTCCCAGAAGTGGGCCAGATATCCCCTGTAAAGGAGCCACGTCTATCCCAGGGGGAAGCACACCTGGTAGAGAGAAAAAGAAACTTCTGAGAAGTTGTGTCAAATGTACCTAAAACTTTCAAGTTTTACCACAAATTTTTGCTGATTTGGAAACTTAAAAGAGTGTTGGGTATTGTGGCACACTAATTTTTTTTAGGGTACTGAAAAATTACAAAAGGCCACTTCATTTTATTTTTCAAGACAGGGTTTCTGTGTAGCCTTGGCTGTCCTAAAATTAGCTCTATATACCAGGCTGGCCTTAAACTCAGAGATCCACCTCCCTCTGCCTCCACACGTGTCAGGTCACACAAGTGTACACACAAGAGACAATTTTAAATGAGCGCCAAAGCCAGGCTCCCTAATCTTAATGATCTAAAGGGAGCAGACCCCTATGTATACCCACCTACCATGATGCAACATTACTGACCACCCGCACCCAGTCAGAAACTCACCAGCTTGGAGCAAACTTGGAAGATGCTGTGGATGTATTCCTTGGGCTATCAACCTTTGGACTAACCCTGGGTGAAGCTGGTGAGTAGGCCGAACAATAGGAACATGAGGGACCAGGGGAACTTGGTGGGGAGGGCGAAGAAAAGGTGTTCCTGGACCTGGGGGTGCTAAGGTGGGTGTTTTTCTCCCGGCTGCTTTAGGTCGGTAATCTTGCTCTTTGGTATAACGGTTGTTCTGGGACAGTGGAGTGGAGCACGAAGACCACTGTGATGTCGAGAGTTTAGGATTTGTCGAAGGAGAAGAGTCTTGATCATTATTGGGCATGGGATTAGATGACAGCAGGTTCTCTGTAAGGATTCAGTCATAGAACATTTTGGTACTGACATCAGTTTCCAATTTATTTCAATCCCCAACAGACTAGCAAACTTTTTTAAAAAGCTGGCAATTTTTATTTGATTCCTCTTCAGTTTAGATGATTTCATGGAACGCCATTTGCCTTAAATGTAGACATACATACCTGCAACTCTCCAAAAGCCTAGGAGAGTTGAGTTAGGGTCATAGAGTAGTTAAGGCCTTGAGCTAGGACTAGATGCTAAAATTTGTTTTAATTTTTTTATTTTCCATGTATGGATAGGTGTTCTGCCTGTATGTATGTCTGCGTCATGTGAAGGTGCTGGATACGACAGGGCTGAAGTGAAACATGGTTGTGAGAAGCCACATGGGTGCTGGGAATTGAACCCAGGTCCTATAAAACCAACCAGTGCTCTCAGCCGTATCTCCGGCCTGTAGATGCCGTTTTAATGCCTTCCAATTCCATGCTGGAATTTTTGTTTTGCTTTTTCATTTTCCTTTCTTGAAGGGTGTTAGACATGAACCCATGGTCTTGCACATACATACTAAGCAAGTGTTCTAACACTGAGCTACATTCCCAGTGCATAACGAATTTTTGATACAACACAAAAGAACTTCTTTGACATATAAAAACAAATGGCACAAGTTGCCAGGCTTAGGAGGTAGTTCCTGAGATCGCAGGACTTTGTGAGGTTAGGACTACACAGTGAGATTCTGTCTCAAATGAAACAACCAATCAACCAAAAACCTGTAACAAAAAAAGGAAGCCTGTGTCTATTCTATACTCCCTTCAGCCGAAGGACAGCTATTAGTAAAACCAGACCACAAAAACAGCCCAATTTAGTTAAGTGTCTTGCTCTACACCAATGGTGGAGCAAATAGTATCTTTGGTTCATATGGAAGAGCTGGGGTTAGAGATACAGATCAGCAGTTAAAAGGTCTGGATGCTCTTGAAGACCTAAGTTTATTTCCAGCACCTACATGGATGCTCATAACCACCTATAACTCTGGGCCCAGAAGATCTGATGCTCTCTTGTGGAGACATACCTCGAGGCAAAGCATATAAAAATGTTAATAAGAACTGAACTGTATTAATATGCTATGAATCTATCATTCAACCTGGTAGACTAATAGGAATCCTAAGCTAGAGTACACCTGTTATCCCAGCTGGACAGAATATCAAGTGAACAAGTTTGACTGTGAGCTCACCCAACCCATCTCCCTGACATTGCAGTCATGCATGCCTACGTTCTGACACAGGTGAGCAGTACCTTCACTGGCCTTCTGAGTATCTTCTTTAGCATCTCCAGGAACCACTGTTCCAGGTGTTATTTCCTCCTTGCTTTTCTCTCTGCTTTCATACATCTTCCGAATCACTGAGGTAGGGGTGAAGGAAGGAGAAAGCTGCAGAGAAGAGAGGCAGAATTAGCATACTCAAGTGCCTTTCTGTAATATTAAGCCAGGATTTTTTGGTTTTCAATACTGGGATTTAAACCTAGGGTCTTGCAAATGCTTGGAAGTACCTGACCACTATGTATGCAGCACCCACCTTGGGCCTGGCTTCACCGGTGAAGCCATTCCACAGAGGGAAGAGTCCCCATTTTGTCTATGTAGGCAGAGGGAACTCTAGCAACTCTAATGCTCTGGTCTATAGACATTGGAAGAAAACACAAAGAGGCAAATAGTCACTATCCAAAGAGCTTCAACCCTTGTTCACCTGTAAAAATGTCTCTCTTCTCATGCTTATCAAGCCTGGGATAGGATGGGGAAGAAGAGAGGGGGATAGCTGGAACTGTACCTTAGTAAACACAGAAAGGATGCTTCAAAGACAACCTCAGAACATATGATACTCCTTGTTCCTGGTATTTTTCTTTTAAAAATATTGTGTGTAAGAAAATCCAATTATCTTAAAGCTTTCCTCACTTACCATTGAGGGTCCTTTGTTCTTGTTCCTGTTGTTTATTTTTTTAATGATTTTATTATGCATGTGCCCAAAAGTTGAAAGGCAGGAGACAAGATCTAACTGACAAACAAAGCTTCCAGAATCTCTCTAAAACAAGAGCTTTGAGGTGCTTAGTGCAGAGACCCATATGGAGTCCTGAACCACAAAACAATTGTTTTTCCCCCTTGTCTATCAGCTTTGATAGGATGATAAAGGTCTGTAGAGATGAAATTAAAAACTATTAAAAAAAAAAAGGCAGTGGTAAAGCTAGACTAGCACCTCAAATAACACACCCACGATAGAACAGAACACAATCTGTGGACCTGCCAGCATGCTCACTGAACAAGTCACTCTTCTGATCTCCTGCCTCACCTCTGTCCTTTACCAGCTTCCTTCCCTATACCAGCTATACTAGTTTGTCTTAGAAAGGCTCTCACTAGGCACAGGTTAGCCTTCCATTCAGAGATCCATTTGCCTCTCTGCCTCCCAAGTGATGCCATTAAGTGTATGTTACCAGGCCTGGCCCAGCTTTATTTTAAGCAGTGATATCTTACTGTATCCTGGCACAAGTTTGTCTATCTCCTAGAGCATACTTTTCAATGCAGGGACTTCAGTAGAATAATAAATTAGGGGAGGGAAGACATAATAAATAGATAGGCATAGAAAGTCAGTAATCCTGTGGAAGGCATTCAGAGACACAGGGAGTACACTGGCATAACAGATAACCAGATGCAGAAATCTTAGAGCCATTCAGTTACCAAAAGTCACTGACCATGCTTGTGATGGACGCAGCAGGAGCTGGGGAAGAGGAATTTCCTCGGTGCATGGGTGCTGGTGACTTTGAGACTCGCTGTTGCCTGGGAACAGATCCATTAACAGTGTCAGTTCTCAACTACTTAATGCCAAGTCTAAAACCATGTAATTCAGTAACAGTCCAGGAACTTAGCACACCTTTCACTTATCCAACTTAATTCCATTTTTTGGTTTCTAGACAAGGTTTCTATATAGCTTTGGAGCCTGTCCTGAAACTCACTCAGTAGACCAGGCAGGCCTTGAACTCAGAGATCCATTTTTCACTACCTCCTGAGTACTGGGATTAAAGGCATGCACCATCACCGGCCAGTGGAAAAAGTTTTTTTTTTTTTTTTTTCCTCTACATAGTCCTGTCTACTCTGAAACTCACTATGTAGAACATGCTGGCCTTGAATACAGACGTTCTCCTGCCTCTGCTGGGAGGCACTATCCCCAGCTGTTCTACTTATTCTCCCTTAGCCTGGAGGAAAATGGGAAACAGGGTAGGCATAGAAATAGGTTGAGGAATAGACTATGTGTACGCCCTGCACTTATACCAATTATTAGTGACTGAAACCCTCTGAATCCCAGGCAATGATGGGATCCTGAATCAATAATCTTTCCAATCAGTGTTCATAAACTAGGCAATGTATCTTAAGTGTACATGAGGGTTTCACACTATTTATCATTTACACCTTTTATGTTTTGTTTTCTTTTTTTCCTTTTTCCAGAGGGCGTTTTGAGACAGGATTCCTCTGTGTAGTCATCCTGGCTGTCCTGGAGCCTTTAATCCCAGCACTCAGGAGGCAGAGGCATGAGGATTTCTCTAAGTTCGAGATCAGCTTGGTCTATGAAGTGAATTCAAGGACAGACAGAGTTGTTACACAGAGAAACCCTGTCTCGAAAAACAAAAACGACAAAACCCAAAAAACAAAACTAAGCAATGATGTGGGATTCCTCTCCGTATGCTATGAATATGTTTTTTTTACCAGGGGTTATTAAAGAAGCTGTTTTGGCCAACGGCTTAGTAAAGCCAGGTGGGAAATCCGAACAGAGATATAGAGAGAAAGTAGGCAGAATCAAGGAGACACCATGTAGCTGCTGAAGGAGACAGACATCAGCTGGCAGCCAGAACCTTTACCGGTAGGCCACAGCCTTGTGGTGATACACAAATTAATAAAAATGGGTTAATTTAATATGTAAGAGTTATTTAATAAGAACCTGCGTTAATAATTCAAGCAGTGTTTATTAATATTAAACTATTAATATATTAAAATATCAATATAGTTTCTGTGTGATTATTTGGGTCTGAACAGCGGGGTAAATGCAAAGGCAGACTCCACCTAAAAAGCAACAAAATAAAACAGAAACAAGGGCTAGTGGTGGGGGTGTGAAAGAGTCTGGTATATCCAAGGCCCTGAGTTCAATCACTGGCACAGTAAAAACAAAAGAAATTAACCAGTAGAAGCATTGTAAATTTTAAAATATATTTACTTGTAGCAAATTAAATTATAATATCAAATTATGAGACTATCATGATGAATTAGCTAACCGAAACTCAAAAAAAATCAATTAAAATTAAGATATAAAATATATAGAATAAGGGGGCTGGAGAGATGGCTCAGAGGTTAAGAGCACTGCCTGCTCTTCCCGAGGTCCTGAGTTCAATTCCCAGCAACCACATGGTGGCTCACAACCATCTGTAATGAGATCTGGTGCCCTCTTCTGGTCTGGTGGCATCCATGCAGATAGAACACTGTATCCATAATAAATAAAAATAAATCTTTAAAAAATATATGTATAGAATAAGAAAATTAAGGTAGTGCTTATTTTTAGAGGCTAGACAGTGGGCACTTCAGAGGGGGGCAAACTGATAATATCAACACAGGGCACATAGCAGGATTCCGTACAATTCAACTGAATTTTCTCTATAAACAGAATCTGCAGTGGGATGGAATGCCCATCTTACATTAGATCAGCATATACAACCATATATATGATTTACCAATCTCAGAAGGCTACTTATAAATCAGTACCCAAATCTGCATAAGTAGCATTAGAAGTTTACCTGTTTCTCAGTCCATCTCTGGTTCTATCCACTTGTGGTTTGTTATAACCAGGCTGATAGAAGGATGCTGGCTGTACTGCAAGGTCATGTGGGAGGGCCAGCCCCTCCAAGGCAGCCTGCTGCAATTCTAGCTGGCTCATCTGCTCAACAGAATGGCAGGGGACAATGAATGAAAAAATGAGGAAGTTCAATTTTCCACAAAGGTCTGTCTCATGGTTTAAAGGGTAGCTAAGAAAACAATATGACAAATATTTAAGTTATGCTTCTGTCCACTAAATATTTTTAAAATTTAAATAGTGGGGTGAGAGATGGCTCAGTGGTTAAGAACATTTATTGCTATTGCTGAGTATCCGGAGGTTCAATTCCCAGCACCCAAATGGCAGTACACAAATATCATAACTCTAGTTTCAGGGGATTTGATGACTTCTTGAAAACTCTCTGGGCAATGAGCACACATGTGATACACAAACAAACAAAGTATTCATATACATAAATCTAAAAAAATTTTTTTAATTTATATAGTACTCAGCAATTTTCTCCTATGAATGAACTTGAAGTATCATTGCAGAACAAACTATGTATTTCATTATTGCATATCAATCTCCACCCTACAAGCAACAGCAAGTGTGAAAAGGCAAAGAGACTAGGTCTGAGAAAGAGCTCAGCCTGACCTGGGCTGTGACAGGGCTCATGGGCTTGCGCATGCCTTGGAATGGATCTCCAAGTAGCTGCTGGGGTCCTGATGGGAAACCTGCCAGAAAATTTCCAGAATCAATAACTGTCAAGCATTAGTGCCAAGGACTACGTAAGCACCCCCACCCTGTTGTGCTTGCTTAACGGGGAAGTGTTGCTTCTTTGGCCCGATAAAACATCCCCCTTCGTCTCTCCTCCCACAGTGTATATGTGGACCTTAAGCAGAGTTATTCTGGCCTCAACTGCTGGTGTAACCTTCTTCCCATTAAGCTGTCACCTTTGACCTTTTCAGAGCTAGGAGCTCTCCGGCTAACAAATTTTCTCTTCAGCAATCTGGCCATGCTTGACAAGTTAGCTGGCACTAAAGTAGAGTCCAGAGCTCTGAGGGTCAGTTCCCACACGACTCTATATGATTGCAAGCAAATATTAAGGTATCTGATTGGCAAAGGCAAGGTGCCGGCAGTCCCCAGTGGTTTGATGGCAGAGACACTAACACAGCTTTCTGGAAGTGCTTCTTTTAGGCACATACTGAAGCAACACAGGATTTCACAGTTCACTGTGAACCAACTTCAACTGCTCGTCCAGAAAGTCATTACTCTGTGACTGGCACCTTCATGTAGCTTCAAACTATGTAGGCCAGCGTGGCCTTAAAACTTGAAATCCTCTTGCTTCATCATCCCAAGTGCTGAGATTAAAGGAGTGTATCATCACTTCCTGGCTTTCCTCAAGTTCTTTATCAAAGACAGACCTAAGAATCCAAATTAACTTTTCAGCTGAATTCTCTTAACAAGAAAACTAAAGAGCTATACTTGTTTACTATGAACATATTGATTATAAAGGGGAGCTCAAAAAAACAAACAAACAAACAAACAAAAAACTCAAAACACTATCTTCCACTTTGACTGCACACTTTCTACATAAACTGAAAGGAAGGACTCATTTCCTTTCAGATTTCTTTAAGCATACCCTTCCATAGACTGCCAAGTCCAGGGAAGAAGTCTAACCTTCTTGGACACGAGGGGAAGACAGACATGCATTAAGAGCAGGTACTGAGATGGGAACCTAGTCAATGGTGGAGTGCTTAACTGGTAGATATGAGGCACAGGGTTCAATCCCCAGCAGTAAGGAACTAGTTACCAATTGGTGATGGTATCCTTGGATGAAGATAGTCTGCTGACGCTGCTCGAGTTTGAAACACCTGTGACATAGGAGGAGAGGGTGCTCTTTGGCTCAATAAAGATGCAGTAGGTTCCAAGCTCCCCATAAGGCCACTGAGAAGATTGGAAGAAGCAGGTCTCTGAACCGGTTGACCAAGGAGTTCCTATAGGCAGAAATGCCAGATCCCTGTGAACAAACCTTCTTTCTAGTCCAAAGTTTTGAAACAGGAATCCATTTTTAGAAGCTAGTCAATGTCTCTCATGCACCATTGAGGAGCTGGCATCTGTACATGTAAGACATTTCCCCAAATGTTTCAGCTACCAACATTTGCCTTAAGTTAGTGCTAGAAGGGTCTGGAGAGATGGCTCAGTGGTTAAGAGCATTGCCTGCTCTTCCAAAGGTCCTGAGTTCAATTCCCAGCAACCACATGGTGGCTCACAACCATCTGTAATGAGGTCTGGTGCCCTCTTTTGGCCTGCAGGCATACATGTAGACAGACTATTGTATACATAATAAATAAATATTTTTAAAAAAAAAGTTAGTGCTAGAAAAACAGATCAGGTTCTCAAATTCCACAGAAACTGCAAACTGGCAAACCAGAACCATTTAAAGCACCACAGCCCACCCACTTGGATTAGCAACATAGCAAATGACGTTAGGTAGCAATAGTACATCCCTGACTGCCACACAAAGGTCACTCTGAAGGATTAGTCTAAGACTGTAACATACCTGTAGGATGTTTTTAGGGACAGGCTGGCCTGGAATTTCAGCCGGAGCCAACAAGTGACTTTCAAGGTTTCGCTAAAAAAGAAAGGAAGAAAACTGGTTATAACTTTAAGACAAATTTTACTGGGGACCACATAAAAAAACAGCAAATATTCCCAAAGGGAGTTGTCAGTTAACAGCAAAATGATGCTCAAGTCACAGAGAACTGATTTCACCAACTCACTCCTACTCTCATCGCACGTGTCTCAACAAATCCCTCCCATGTACATGAAGAGGTATTAGGAAAGATTCTCTAAGCCAGCACTAGCCCATCTTTGAAGAAACCTTTACTGATCATTATCAATAAGAAGATTTACTGGGGCTGGAGAGATGGCTCAGCGGTTAAGAGCATTGCCTGCCCTTCCAAAGGTCCTGAGTTCAATTCCTAGCAACCACATGGTGGTGGCTCACAACCATCTGTAATGAGATCTGATGCCCTCTTCTTGCCTGCTGGCATATATGCAGACAGAATATTGTATACTTAATAAGTAAATAAATATTTAAAAAAAATAAGATTTACTGATGAAAGAGAATATTAAAAACAAGGAGCTGGAGGGGGCTGGAGAGATGGCTCAGTGGTTAAGAGCATTGCCTGCTCTTCCAAAGGTCCTGAGTTAAATTCCTGGCAAACACATGGTGGCTCACAACCATCTGTAATGAGGTCTGGTGCCCTCTTTTGGCCTGCAGGCATATACTCAGACAGAATATTGTATACATAACAAATAAATGAATAAATATTAAAAAAAATAACAAACAAGGAGCTGGAGAGATGGTTCAGTGGTTAAGAGCACTGGCTGTTCTTCCAAAGGTACAAACCTGGGCTTTATGGCCAGCACTCATATGATGGCTCACAACCATCTATTACTCTAGTTCCAGGGGATCACACATATTCTAAAATCCATAGACATAAGACATGCACATATATACACACAGATAAATAATCATACACTTAAAACAAAAATAAATAAAACTTTAAAAATCGACCAGAAAGCCAGTATTCAGGAGGCAGAGGCAGGCAGATCTTTGAGTCCAAGTCTGACAGAGTTCCTCAACAAGCTCCAAAGTTATACAGAGAAACCTTGTCTCAAAAAAACAAAACAAACAGAAAAAAAAAAACCCCACCAAAACCAAAACCAACTAGACAACAACTAAAAACAGCAGCACAACAGGCTGGGCATGACAGTGATGCACACTATTCTTTCTAGCAGTCTGGTGGTTGAGGCGGAACAAACAGGAGTTTGAGAAGCTTAGGCTGCATGAAACATAGCCAGGAGATAGGCAAGAGGCACAGCCTTTGTCTAGAAAGCATGAGAAGCCTGAACATGATGCTATGATGCTGAGTCACAAAACTAAAACAAAAATAATGAATAACATTCCAAATTTGGCCAGAACTGTTAATGTTTCAGAGTTTGGGGGGGGGGGGGTTGAAACAAGGTTTTTCTGTGTAACAGTTCTGGCTTTCCTGGAACTTGAACTAACAGAGATTCACCTGCCTCTGCCTAAGCGCTGGGATTAAAGGTGTGCGTGCTACCAGCTACCATCATCACAGTTAATCAATCATTTAGCTACTTGTAGTTGCTAGGCAAAAAGGATTGAAGAAAAAGAGGTAAATTCAATTTGGCAGATCTGATATAACATAGTAACTAAGACTAGACTTTGTTCTTCAGATCTACCCTGTCTCCGTTACTTAGTATCATAAAGGAAGAGTGTAAGATGAAGACGATGGCTGAAACTCACGCTTTAAACACTGCTATGATATTTGATATGTACTTTTAAAAAAGGAGACAGGGTCTTTCTAGACCCTTTGAGTTTGTGATTATCCTATAATCACTTTCCAAGTAGTGATGGGACCACCAGCCTACCCTATCATGCTCACCTCCATTTCTGGCATGTCAATAAATCTGTGTGACTGTTTAATCAAGAACACAGGTAATCCAGATAGATACAGGGAATACAAAGTGCGAAAATAAAGATTTTATATTAGGGGGCTGGAGAGATTGCTCAGTGGTTAAGCACACTTGGCGGCCCTTCCAGAGGACCTGGGTTCAGTTCCCAGAACCCACATAGTGATTCACAATCATCTGAAACTCCAGTGCCAGGAGGGTCTGACACCCTTTTCTGGATGGACTCTGTGTGTACCAGGCATGCAGGCAGCACATAGAAAAAATGCTAATATATAAAAAAATTAAATAAATCTTTAGAAAATTTTACTATAAAATCTTGTAGGGCGGGGCTGGAGAGATGGCTCAGTGGTTAAGAGCACTGACTACCTCTTCCAGAGGTCATGAGTTCTATTCCCAGCAACCACAAGATGGCTCACAACCATCTGTAATGAGATCTGGTGCCCTCTTCTGGTGTGTGTGAAGCAGAATGTTGTACACATAATAAATAAATAAATAAAAAAAAATCTTGTAGGGCGTTTGTGGCTTATGTCTTTAATTCCAGCACTTGGGAGGCAGAGACAGGTAGAACTCTAAGTTTGAGGCCAGCCTGGTCTACAGAGCAAGTTCCAGGAGAGTCGGAGCTACACAGAGAAACCTTATCTTGAAAAGCAGAACAAACAGAAAAATCTCGTATTAACAGCTGAATAACTAGAAAATTTCCCATCGAGCACCTCTAAAAACATAGCATCTTTACATACATACATATATGTGTGTGTGTGTGTGTATATATCTATATATCTATATATCTTTACATTTTTTTCCCTTTGGTTTTTTTGACAGTTTTTTTTTTTTCATATTGCCTGTGTGCTGAGATTAAAGGTGGCCTAGCATATTTATTTACTTTTGAGACAGGGTGTCACTATGTAGCTGAGACTGGCTTTGAACTCAAGAGATATACCTCCCTTTTCCTGAGTGCTGGGGTTAAAGCATGTGTCAGCATACCTGACTTGATCATCACTGGCCCTGGCTGTCCCTGAGCTCCTGATCCTCTCAGATACTAGGATTACAGACGTACATCACTATGTTCAGTTCAGCTCGAGGGACAGTTTCTCTTTTGCAATGGTGATCCTACATATTAGGTTGTGTTTCTCCCACTGGGCTACATCCACAACTCAGTTACTTTTCTTTCTTAGGAAAGGACTTCATAAAGTTATGCAGAAATGAGTTAAACTGAATTATTCAATCATCCTATTGTACCAGACATATACATTATCCACAGATATGCTTTTTTCTACTAACAAATAGCATATCCATAATCAAGGAACAAATAAACATCAAAGACCAAACAACTTCTAAAGAAATTTACAATCTACTCAAAATACCATTTATTATTGCAGTGGGAGGTCATACCGAAACAGGAAAAGAAGAGACTGACTGGGTGAGGTTTTCTGAATACTTACACTGACTTTGGGCTGAGTAGGCAAAGTCCCACTTGCCTTCATGGTGCTCACTAGTTTGTTGAATGCAGTCATATCTCCATCTTTCTTGAGCTGTCGATTGCTAGTTACAGCACTCAGTGTCTCTTCTAAATGTTCCGCCATGAAGGGAGTTGAATTCTTCATTTGCTGGTCCACCTTCAAGCCTTTGAGCCCTGCTTCTACCTCTTCCACTGAAAGTACAACCCCTGAATGTGCTGAGAAGTTGAGAAAGCTCTGGTTACACCAAGCAAAGGGGTATTTGGTAGGAATTCTCATTGGCTGTCATGACAATTATTTCATAACTGAAGTGAGGCTATCAAAAAGGCTGCCAATGGAAACAGACAAACTGAACACTTAAAATCATAGTATTTTAATAGGAATAAGGCTATAATTATGTACACAGAAAGACACGGATGGGCAAGGTGGCACACACCTTTAATCCAAGCACTAAGGAGGCATAGGCAGACAGATCAAAGGTACACTGTACATACGGAGTTCCAGGACAGCAAGGACTAAAAAGACCCTGACTCAAAAAAACGAACGGATAGGGGTACACACCTGGAAAAAAATGGCTCAGTGGTTAAGAACACATATTTGTTCTTACAGGACCTGAGTTCACTTACCAGCATTCACACCAGACAGCTCACAACTGAACTTACTGGAACTCCAGTTCCAAAGAACCTGTACCTCTCTCATTCCCTTGGGCACATACACAGACACACATTCACATAATAATAAAAAAAAAAAAATAAAAGAAACAGAATAAACTACACCAAAAATATTCAAATGCTAGAAACTGGGAGGGCAGAACTATGGAGTATGAGTTTTCAAAACTTGGTAAGATCTTACATAGTGAGTTTCAGGACAGCCAAAAAGACACAGAGAACCCCCATCCCCCTCAAACAAACAAAAAAGAACAAACAAAACCAAAAAAATTTGACAAGACCCTATGTGTCAGGCAGAAAGATACCTTATAATAACTCTCTCCAGACTTTGCTACCAGGGTAAGAACCCAGACAGCTTAACAGCAACTAACCTGTGCTGTGGTCTCACAGCGCTAACTGATGCTAAGGACTTGTTGCCTAAGTGAGAACATGGTAAATGGAGGCACAGTAGTGAGGAATAGGCAAGCTATGCTTGGGAGGACAGAAACAGTCCTGGGTTGTTACCACTGGACCCTAAGTAAAAATCGGAGGGAGGCTGGGTATAGTGTATACCTTTAATACCAGCACTGTAGAGACAGAGGCCAGAGCTTCTCTGTGAATTATAGGCCAACCTGGCTTACAAAGCAAGTTCTAAGGCCAGCCAGGGCTTAAAGATACAAGGTTGTGTGGCAACACGCCCGAGTCTTTTCGAAAAACCTCAACTAATCCCCACCATGCTTCTGAATTGATGAGAAGCAGTACATTAGAACCACTGCTTAAGAATGGGAACTTTACATAGCTAAACAACAAACACTTACAGCTCTCCTTAAGCTTTTCTTTGTTTGCAGAAAGGCTAGAGAGAAGAGGTTTTAAATCCACTTTGGCTTTCTGCAGCATTTCTAAGATGTCCACTTTATTTTCAGCATGGTCTTCCGATGGAATAGGAGCAAAATAATTCCCCGAGTTCTGTCCAGGAGAGAGGACGGCTTGTTCCAGACCTGATTTTGTAAATAAACATACCCACAGTTGGTATTGAACATACATACTTCCCTTCAACAACATAAAAAGAGCAGTAACTGAAGGGTTTTCAGTATCCAAAACTCCTTTAACCCTAGTGGACCACTGAGTAAAGGACAAAATGATCCAGGCCAGGGGAGGCTTAATTCACATACAAGGCTAGAATGTGAAGCTCTCTTACCTGCGAGTCTCTCAAGCTCTTCATGTGGTGTAGATCCAAGGCTACTAGATCTGCTCCCTGACCGGCTTGGGTTAGAGAACCATCTACTGAAGCGGCTGGCAGAGACTGACCCTTCTCCCAGAACATCTTCTATCATCTGACAAGAGAGACAGAGGGGTTAAGGTGAACAGTCTCCAGGTGAAAAGGACATGGAGGTTCAATGTTAAGACAAAGACTCTGAAACTTCCTTTGACACCGCTGACCCAAAATCACTTTCAGAACTTAGGAGCCCCTTTCGGATCTTTCCTGAGCAACTCAAATTTGAGCATTAAAACAAATAAACAATAATCAGAAACAAAACAAAAAGACACAGACCTCCTAAGCGTACACAGCATAGTCTCTATGTTACTTAAGAGTTCTCTACCGTTTGCCCCATTAAAAAAGGTATCTTAGGAGATTCAGTTTCAAAACCACAATAAGTACCAGAGTGAAGTACTGTGACACCATGTTGATGGCTTCAGTGAGATTGTTTATGAAGAAATGATTAAAGAAAATCCCTGGCTCCAAACTGGTGGTCTCGGGATTGAAAGGAATATTATGATATTCAACGCTGACAAATTCAAGAAGCCAAGATATAAAAATGTAGAGCTAAGAAATGATCACTATAGCCAGTAGGTGGGCACACATCTCTAGTCTAAGAATTTGGGAGGCAGAGGTAGTCAGAGTGAGTTTTAGTATGGCCAGGGCTACACAGTGAAACCCTGTCTCAAAAAACAAACAAAAAAAGAAAAGATCGGGGAAAAAAAGAAAAAAGATCATTATTCCAGCCAAGGGAGGTGCAACACAGGTAATCCAAACACTTGGAGGGGTTGAGGTCAGCTTGGGTCACACACTGACGCTCTGTCTCAAAAAGTAAGCATCAAGAAGAAAAACACACAGGAGAATGACAACTCCAGTTGAAGTGTAGAAAGTGGATATAAAAGTATCATGATATATCTCAGTGGAACAAGTGAGTGCAGGCAAAATACAATTTAGTGTAAGCAGGAATTTTATTAAAACAAAACCTCAAAATCCACTAAAACCCCAAACAAACAAACACCCTGAAAGGTAGTTACTATTTCAGTGTTTAAAAATGAGAAACTCTAGGACTGTTGACATGGCTCAGCAGGTAAACGCACCTATGGTACAAGCCTGATGACCTGAATCCACATAAGATAGGAGAACCAACTCTAAAAAGCTGGCCTCTGACCTCCACATACGCACTGTATCACACGTGTGCACTCACCCTTACTAAAAGTAATACATTTTAAAGGTAAATTACTTAATCTACTCAAAAAGTTTTAATTTACAAAAAATGATGACTTTGCATTTTAATGTTTCTAACATAATCTTACTAAACAGGAAAAGTCAAAGACAAAAATAAAGGACATAAAGTATCTGGGCATTTTCTAAAAAAATTAAGTAAATACTGAGAAAACACTTTCTCCCCCTGCCCCACACAGGGTTTTTCCGTGTAGCCCAGCTGTCCTGGAATTCACTTTGTAGACCAGGTTGGCCTAGATATCAGAGATTTGTCTGCCTCTGCCTCCCAAATGCTGGAATGAAAGATGTGTACCACCATCACCAGGCGAGAAAAGTAATTTCTGTTTTGCTCAGTTATAGACTTTGCTTCCTTTTTCTTGTTTTCTTTTTTCTTTTCTTGAGATAGGGTTTCTCTATGTAGGCCTAGCTGTACCGGAACTCACTCTGTAGACCAGACTGGCTTTGAACTCGGAGGCCTCTGCTGCCACCCCCAACACACACACACACACAAGGGCTAGGATTAAAGGCACTGTTCACCACTGCCAACTTTTGTTATGGTTTTTTGAGAGAGGGTTTCTCTATAGTATCCCTGGCGGTCCTCAAACTCACATAGATCTGCCTGCCTCTGCCTCCTGAGTGCTGGTATTAAAGACATGTAACACCACTGTGCAGCTCTTTTTAAAATTTTATTTTATTATTTAATACATTATGGATGTTTTGCCTGTGTGTATGTCTTTGCACCATGTATGAGTGCATTAAATATCCTGGAACTGGGGTTAAGAGACAGTTATGGGTGCCATGTGAATACTGGGAATCAAACCCAGGTCCTCTACAAGAGCAGACAGTGCTGCTCTCAATCACTGAGTCTTCTCTACAGCCGCTAAATTTGTGTTGTTAAATTTTATAATCAAGAGTAGAAACAAACTTGCTCTTAGACACATTTGTAGAGATACTCATCTCAAAAAAACAAGGTGCTTGAGTCCAAATCCTTTTGGACTAAAAGTTTGGTCATTTTTAAGACATGACAAAGCAGGGACTCGGACAGCAGAACCTCATCCTGTACAGGAAATAGACACAGCTGACTTCTGAATTGGGACATCCTTCACTATATCCTTTCAACTACCAGCAGATGAAGGAGCTGGGAGCTATGATATTTCAGCTGTACCTAGTAGAGGTTTGTTTTTTGTTTTTTGTTTTTTTAACTGCGTCTTCTCTGTCTGTCTGCTTGCTGGCCAGAAGAGGGCACCAGATCTTATTATATATGGTTGTGAGCCACCATGTGGGTGCTGGGAATTGAACTCAGGACCTCTGGAAGAGCACTCAGTGCTCTTAACCGCTGAGCCATCTCTCCAGCCCCCTAACTACGTCTTCTCAATATATATATATATATACACATTTGGGGAGTGGTGGTACATGCCTTTAATGTTGGCACTCGTGAAGCAAAGATACGTGAATCTCTTGTGTTTCAGGCCAGCTAAGGCTACATAGTGAGTCACTGTCTCAAAACAAAACAAAAGATACCCTTCCCTGGAAAAAAAGAGAGAGAAAAAACACTAAGTCAAATTTAACCATAATTAGCTGTTTCATATTATGTTGTTTTTCTTTCTTTCATTCTTTTTGTTGTTGTTGTTGTTGTTTTTCAAGACAGGGTTTCTCTGTGTAACACTGGAGCTTTCTCTGTGGACCAGGCTGACCTCGAACTGACAGGGATCTGCCTGCCTCTGCCATCCGAGTGCTAGAATTAAAGGCATGCACCTAGGCCAGGCATTTTTTCTTTTTTTGAACTAAGAAAATAAAAAAAAAGTTGAGGCAGGTTTCACCATGCAGTCAGGCTGGCCTTGAAATGACTATGTAGCTCCAGTTAACCTCAGACTTAAACTCCTCTTGTCTCAGCCTCCCAGGTACTAAAATTACATGTGTGCACCCAAATTCCATACATGTTAATTAAAAAAATTTTTTTTATTTTTATTTTTCAAGACAGGGTTTCTCTGTGTAGCCCTGGCTGTCTTAGAACTCACTTTGTAGACCAGGCTGTCCTTAAGCTCAGAGATCTGCCTGCCTCTGCCTCCTGAGTGCTGGATTAAAGGCGGGTGCTACCACTGCCTGGCTCATACATGTTTATTTTTATTTTACGTGTATGTAGTATGTATATAAAGATGTTCCTGTGTATAGGTGCACACATGTGTTTGGGTGCATATGCACATGTGCAAGTGGAGGTTGATGTCCAGCATCTTCCTTAATTACTCCTACTTTATAAACTGAGCCAGGGTATCTCATTTGAACTCATAGCTGAGAAACACAGCTAGCTCTGTTAGTCAGCTTGTTTCAACTTCCTGTGTGCTAGGTTTACAGGAGGGCCACCACATTGCACCAACGTTTACTTGGGTTCTAGAAATTTCAATTTCATTTAGTCCTCACACTTGCATAGCAAGGGTTTTATCTACTAAGATTTCTCTGTAACCCCTCCATGTCTATTTGCGAATGTGCTGTTACACTCACCGAAGCCAAGCATGGCACCTTGTCAAGGTTAAAGAACTCATTAAAGTCAAATTCTCCTGGGGACTGCTCAGGTAGGACAACATCCCTTGGGACTTCCTGATCAGCAGAGGGCTCCTGGGCCAGGATGACTTCAACCTCGTCCTCTTCAGCAACCCCTCCATTACATTCCACTATGCCTGAAAATAAAACCAGGACAGAAAGCATCTACTGAAGTACACACTCCAGTCTCACTCTGTGCCTTTAGATATAAGTACACATGCAAAAGTCACACATACTGTCAAAACACTTCTTGTCTTTACAGACCCTGTCACAAAAACAAAATAAAATGGAACTGAAACACTAAAAACTTGCTATTAACTAGCACCCATAGATAGATGTGCAATTAAAGCAGTAATCACCACATATTATTTTAAAACAGTTCACAGTTCCTACTGACCTTCCTTCACAGAGGCAGTCCGTCGCCTTGTTCTTTTTCTCCCTTTATGATCTTCCTCTAGTATCTTATCATCGAAGCCAGTCAGTTCAATGGTTTCAGACTGACTTGTGGGTCCAGCCGAAAACCATTCTGGTTCTTCCTCAGTGTACGAATCATTTCTTCTACGCTCACCAAAGACACGTTTACTATCTCCAAACTCCCTCTGAAAAATTAAAAAATAAAACAAAACAAAAAACCAAAAAACAAGAATGAAAAACTGTAAAATGCTAGTAGAAGCATTGTAGTCAGTCTTAAAAGAATTAATATTAGAAACTGCAGTGCAGATGCTGTGATGGGAAATTGAAGGACGTTACCACTCTTGTACTGCCCCCGATTTCTCCTTGACTAGCACAGGAGTGGGCTGTGAACCCTAGTTTCTCCAAGTAACTGGCTGGGCTGGGAGGATGCAACTCAGAGCTAGGGCACCAGTCACAAATGTGTGGCCCTGGTTTTGATTCTGTACCATCATGAAAAGAAGAATAATACAGTATAAAGAGGTGAGCATCAAATTTCAAGCACTTGAGAACTAACAGGGCCAGAGGACACACCCTGAAACGCTTGTCCTTGTAGTCCCTCTCTCTGTCTCTGTCTCTCAAGTCCCGTAGGTCCTTCTCACTGAGACGGTGGTCCTTCTCAAAAGCCCGGGCAGAGATTATCCTCCCACTGCCAATTCTTCGTCCACCAAGCAAGCGAAGTCCATCACTGTCTTTCTCCAAGGGACTTCCAGAGCGACGGGAGCTAACAGCAGCTGTCACATGGCAGCCACCTCCAAAGCTTCGTCTCTGTGGGCTGAGAACAACATCTAAGTCATCTTCTTTCACACGCTCTCGTGGATCTGAAAAGATGCCATAAAAAAAGGTAAGCAAACCAACATCTCTAGAAACCGTGTCCACAGCTGGCAGGAGGACAGAAAATGTCAGAAAGGAGACAATTCTAAAACTGGGCTTATCAACAGATTCAAAGTAACAAGTACATAGTCACTGGATTTTTAAAACTTGGTCATTAAGGACTGAACTCAGATTGTTAGGCTTAGCAGCAGGTGTCTGTTGAGTCATCTCACTAGCCCTTTATAATTATTTTTTTACATTAAACTTAAAATTTTTAAAAAATATTTAGTCCTTTTTTCTCCTCAGAAAAAGATCTATTTCATAATGACTTTCTATGACTTACTATGACTAAGATTTTTTAAATAATTTATTTTTTAATTCATGTGCATTCATGTTTTTTTGTGTGTATGTATGTCTGTGTGAAGAGCTGAGATCCCCCGAAACTGGAATTACAGACTGTTATAAGATGCCATGTAGGTGCTAGGAATTGAACCCAAGTCCTCTGGAAGAGCAGCCAGTACTCCCTCCAGCCGAAGACTAAGATGTTTGTTTGTTTGTTTGTTTATTTTGGGGCAGGAGCTATGGAGCCAGCCCTGGAACTCACTTTGTAGACCAGGCTGGCCTTGAACTCTCACAGAGATCAGTCTGTCTTTACCAACTGGCTTTTTTTTCCTGTTGACTATGACTAAGACTTTTTTTTTCCCCAGAGACTAAAACGAAGATTTTTATGTATACAATTTTTAGCTAATCTATTGTCCATTAATAAAATGTCATGTCAGTATTTGAAAAAAATAAAATGCCTAAAAAATAGTAAACAGCCAGATGGTAGTGGCACATACTATGAGTTCAAGGTCAGTCTCGTCTACTGAGTGTGAGTTTCAAGACAGCCAAGGCCACACAAAAAATTGTCTTATAAAACCAAACCAAACAAACAAACAAAAAAACCCCACACTTTACATTCAGCCTGTAACCCCAGCACTTGTGATGCTGAAGCAGGAGAATTCCTGAGTTCACACCCAGCCTGAGTTAGAATAAGACACTGTTTCAAAACAGATAACTTTAAACTGGATTTCATATTCAATATTTAATTTAAATGCATCAAGAGTGAAACCTAAAGTGAAAGAGAACATCTTTGCTGTGGTTAAGTGTAGGAGCAGGCTCCTACAATTAGGCAAAATGTTTTTTGAGGCCCAGCAACAAGTGTCATCCATTAAGGCAGCCTGTTAAGCAAGGTTTGCTCTGAGATTAGTACTGTTCTTTGAAGACACTGTTTAGGTATCTAAGACTGGGAGTAAACATTCAAACAAAGCACATTTCTCAGGAAAGACCTGAATCCACAGCATATAAAAACACAGTAATAAATAAAAAACTAAAAAATGAATCAAGGGGCTGGAAGGGCTGCTCAATTAAGGCTGATCTCCAGAAGTCCTGAGTTCAATTCCTAGCACCCCTATAACAACTCACAACCATCTCTAACTGCAGTCCATGGGATCTGAGATACCTTTCTCTGGTATCCAAATGAATATACAGATAAAACACAAACAAGTTTTTTTCCTCCTTTTGAGACAGGATTTCTCTGTGTAATAGTCCTGGCTGTCTTGGAACTTGCTCTGTAAACAAGGTTGGCCACAAACTCACTGAGATCCATATGCCTGGGCCTCCCAAGTGTTGGGATTAAAGGCAGGTACCATCACCAACTGGCTTTTTTTTTTTTTTTTTTTTTTTTTTTTTTTGAGACAGGGTCTCTCTGTAGCTTTGGAGCCTATCCTGGAACTTGTTCTGTAGACCAAGCTGGCCTCAACCTCACAGAAATCCATCTGTCTCTGCTTCAAAAGTGCTGGGATTAATGGGGTGCACCACCACCACCCAGGTCCTTAAATAAATCTTAAAAATAAATACTAGACCAGTGAGCCGGGTATAGTGTAGAATACCTATAATATTAACACTTGGTAGGTTAAAGTGGGGACTGCTGAGTTTAACTGAGGTTAGTCTTGGCTACACAGTGAGACCTGTCTCAAAAAACTAAATCAACAAAAAAGGATAAAGACCTGAACAGACACTTCAGCACATGGACAGCATAATCTTTAATAAGCATACAGTGTTTATTAATCATCAGTAATACAAATGTTATGGAATAGTACTATACAGTACTATATAGTATATACAATAGTACTATATAGTACTATTATAGCCACTAGATGGCTACAATTAAGAAGGCTAACCATTCCAAGTGCTGCCAAGATGTGGAGCAAGAAGAACCTGAAACCACTGCAAATAGGAATATCAAATGTCTAACCACTTGGAAAAAAAGGAGTCTGAGGGGGGGGTAGGAGATGTGTCAGCGGTTAGGAGGACTTGTTGCTCTTGAAGAGGAAGGATCCAGGGTCAGTTCCCAGTACCCACATACTGGTTCATGACCATCTGTAACTCCAGTTCCAAAGAATCTGATGATGCCTTCTTCTGGCTTTCTTGGGCACTATACACATGCAAACAAAACACTCATATATATAAAGCAAAACAAATCTAGAAAGAAATTTAAAAACATAAAAGTTTTCTTCTGACCTGCTTAGACACTAAGCATTGCACATGGTACACATTACATACGGTAGACAAAACACAAAAATAATAAATCTATTAAACTTTTTATTAAAGTTTGATAGTTTCTGGAAATATTAAATATACATAACAGCCATTATACTTCTAAGTATCCACCCAAGAGATAAAAATTCCCATGTCCATACTGATACTTACACATAAATGATCACATCACCTTTGGTTAGAAACAACTCAAATTACTATTAACAGATAAATGGACACAATGACAGATTCATATAATTAAATACTAAAAGCATTAAAAAGAAATTAACTATACATGCAACAATATGGATAAAGCCAGGTATGGTTCATGAGAGACTGAGGCAGAGGGATAACTCAAGCTTGAGCCCAGCCTGGGCTACAGAGTAGCCTTTGTTCTAGAATGCAACTTCATGTGAGAACATACTGTGATGATTCTAGTACAATTTTAGCAGTGTAAACTCGCCTAGTGAAGGAAGGGCAGTTCTCTTGCGGGGAGTGAGAAGGGGTTAGGAAGGAGACATTCGGACATGAGAGCACTTATAGGTGACAAGGACACTTATTATTGATTGTGGTAATGGTTTCATACAGATATACATGTGAGAACATCAAAGGTATATTGTATATAAGGGTTCTTATATGTAAATGCTATTTCAAAAAGAAAAACATGTCACAAACAGAAAAATAGAAACTGAAGTTGAGTTCAAATATGAAAAACCTGTCTTAGTCTTTATTTTTAACCAGGAACAGCTTTTCATCTTATCTGAATTATTTTTCAGACAGTGCCTCTATGTTGAAGTCACAAAGATTCACCTGCTTCTACCTCTGGAGTACTGGGATTAAAGACATGAACCATAGAAGCACATAGGGTAAAGATTTGTTACTCGTATTGGTTTAATAAAATTCTGATTGGCCGGTAGCCAAGGAGGAAGGATAGATGGGCGACCAGACTAAAAGAATTCTGGAAAGAGCAAGGCAGAGAAGCAGTCGCAAGTCAGATGCAGAGGAAGCAAGATGAAAATGCCTTACTGAGAAAAAGTACCAAGCCACATGGCTAAACAGACTAGAATTATAGATTAATTTAAGATTAAGAGCTAGTTAACAATAAGCCTGAGAGCTAACAGGCCAAACAGTTTAGAATTAATAGAAGCCTCTGTGTGCTTCTTTGGGACCAGGCAGGACAGAAACTTCCATCTACAATGGCACCCAAAATGGCAGTGGTGGCACTTGCCTTTAATCCAGCACCAGGAGGCAGAGGAAGGTGGATCTTTGTGACTTTCTGCCTGATGTGCAGAGCAAATTCCAGGACAGCTAGACCTACAGAGATAAACTCCATCTCAAAAAGCCCAAATTCGTGAACCACCAGCCTTCAACAACAGTGAGAGAGGATTTCATGGAGATCAGTCTCTAATTTATTACATAGTTGAAGATGCTTTCAAACTTCTGATCTCTTGCTTCTACTTCCTGAGTGCTGGGATTAGGGCTTGCACTACGATGTCTAATTCATTCAGTGCTAGGAATTAAACAAAGGCCTTCACGAATACAAGGTGACCATGTAAGTTATAGCCTCAACTGCCTTAGTTTCCTTTCCTGGTGCTGTGCTAAAAAGCACTGAAAAACTTAAGGGAGAAAGGTTTATTCTGGTTCGTAGTTCAATGATATAGCTCATAATGGCAAGGAAGTCAAGGAAGCAATAGCTTCAAACAGTTGGTCACATTTAATACATAACCAAGAAGCAGACATGGATGAATAAATGATAAACTCTGCTCACTTTCTCCATTTTATATAGTACAGGATCTCAATAGAGAATGGTCACACCCACAGTTAAAATGGGTTCTCCCTATCAGTTAACCTAATGAAGACAATCCAACACAGGCATGAACAGAGGCTAACTAATTCCTGGAAGTGTCTTGGGGCTAGCCTCCTAGGCAACTCCACATATATCGAGTTGTTAATCACACCAGCAAAGACAGTGGTACTTTATAATTCAAAAGCACATAGCCTAACACGCCACTCTTATAAGAAGACTATTACTATGATTTTACTCTGCTTATTATGAAAAATACAACTCTTAAATCAATTTTCTCATGACATTTCAATAAGTAAAATTCTGGGGACTAAGAATGAAACCAGCATGCAGGGAGGTGGTGGTGCACACCTTTAATCCCAGCACTCAGGAGGTAGAGGCTGGAGGATATCTCTGAGTTTGAGGCCAGCCTGGTCTACAGAGTGAGCTTCAGAACAGCCAGAGCTGTAACACAGAGAAACCCTGTCTCAGGTGAGGGGTGAAAAATGAAACCAACAGCCAGGACCATGTTCCCCAAATCACAGTATTATTTATAAACATCTGCACACTTGCCTGCTATTCTGCGCACCAGGGAAGGACGGTCTGATTCTGGCTCTTTCTTCAGACTTTCCACTGGTGAGCTCCTCCCTGAAGCAGGGTAGAGAGAGGCATGCCACTTCTCAGGGTCCCAGACACCATCACTACAGGTTAAAGGATAGCATTAGTTAGTGTCTGCAGGTTAATTCTAATAGGTCCCAATTTCTAAACTCCAGGTTACAAGGAAATTTCCTTCAGAATGATTACCCTATTCAAGATGAAAACAAACAGTTATTACTTCAATAATTCCTAGCACCAACTGGTACTTGAACAGGAGTCTACACAAATGAAACTAAGTCCATAAACCATGGGCCCTATCTGCAAATACATAACTGTTTCACACCAAGATTTTCTCCAATGCTGCAGAGACAGCTCCAACTCTTTACCAAAAGTACCTGCTAGAAAGTATTCTAGAATTTTCTTAGTTTAGGTTTGTTGTTATTTTGAGAAAGAGTCTCACTATATAGCCCTAGTGGGACTGGAACTTGCTATGTAGAGCAGGCTGGCTTCAGATTTACAAAGATCCTCCTGCCCCCAACCCTGAGTGCTAGGATTAAAGCACACGCCACCACACTGAGCTATAATCTCTATATGTAGTCTCAGTTTTTTTCAAGTAGGACAGCTCCTAAATTTGTTTTTTTTTTTTTTCCCCTTCAGCCCCACTATGCTCTACCTGCTTTACACCCTTAGCCATGAAAGCTGCTTGAAAGAGTGAGTCAACATCACCCACCCCTCACAACAGGGAGATATTACCTACCTTCCAGGGTCTCTGTGAAGAGTCCAACAAATGCTCACTCTCAAATGAGAAGAGAGGTGACAGAAGCTGCTCTTCCCTCTCTTACCTTTAGTATTGTCACTAGGCACAATACTCAATTTAGCATGAAAGCTAATATACTTGTTCAGGATAATTTTGTTTTATACAAAGAAAAAAGTTTTAATAATAAAATATCAAGTATGCAAAGACTTTACATTTTAAACACAAACAAGCCCATGAAAAATCCTAGCCAATCAAAATGGCCACTATTCTGGTATCATTACCATCAGGAGAATGTGGTGATTCCTCTAGATTCAACAGTCCATATATAGGTTTTAAAAGTCTGTCTAGACTAAAGATGAAGTGTAGTGATAAAAACATTCAACTAACATCAGTAAGGCTTTGGGTTCCATCCCTAGCACTGGGGATGAGGGTATGTGGCACAATGAACCAAAAAAATTAAACGTGATACTTTATAAGTAAAAACACAGGCCCTTAATGACTGCAGACTCACAGTTGAGACTCACAGGGGTATAAAAGGAGTCTTTGACAACTGGCACCTCCCTACTCCCCCAAAGAGTAACAACGTAGAAAAAAGTCATTGAAGAGAACTCTTAAAAATTATGATAAGAATGCTTAAGTGTAGCATTCTGGCTGGGGCAGAGATGGGGAGAGACTCGGTTTTCTTTAAGGGGCTGGCCACTGGGAGCTGAACCATGCCAGTGAGTATATGGGCATCACAAATTGAACTTTTCTTTTTTTCAGGAGGGGGGGGGCGAGTCACTTACAAGGGTTGATGGGGGCTGACCTGGGAGGATTGGGAAATGGGTGTAATTGGGGTGCATGATGTGAAATTAATCAATAAAAATTTTATGTTGGAAAAAGAAATACAGAACCACACGATAGTTAAGAAATTAGTAAGACTGCCAGGCACGGTGGTGCATGCCTTTGATCCCCGCACTTGGAAGGTGGAGAGAGGTGGATCTCTGTGAGCTCAAGGCCTGGTCGACAGTGAGTTCCAGGACATCCAGGACTATGTAAAAAGATCTTGTCTCAGACAAAAACCCCACAACAACAACAACAAATAACTAAGATAACCTTAAGAAATATATTCCAGAACAGACAAGGCTAAACAAAGAAATCCTGTCTTGAAAAACCATACACACATACACACACACATATGCATGCAAATATACATTGATATAAATAAGTATATATTCATATGAATATAGATAAGCAAATATATTTATATAATTCATACAAGCAAATATAGTTATATAAATACATATAAATAAAATACAGGGTTACTGTACATTTTCAAAACATTTTTCTCTAGCTTTTTCAAACAAACAAAAAAAAAAGCCCTTTACCTTTTCTTAAGGGCACAATAGGCTAATCTGAATGGCTCTTTGATAAAGATCTTAGAGCCCCACTTTAGCATCCCCAAAAAACTGCCCTGGCCGAAGCATGAAAGGACTCTAGAACTAAGACTCCTCCTAGGCTTAAATATGCCCTGTGACTGTAACTGAGTCACTCTGTAGTTTAGTTTTAGTACAAGTTAGTGTGGCCATGCTATTAACTCTTGAAATACTTCCCTCAGTCATAACCCTACTATAACAGCAGCATTCTAACCACCTAATTATTTTTTTTAAGATTTATTTATTTATTATGTATACAACATTCTGCCTCCGTGTATGCCCACATGCCAGAGGAGGGCGCCAGATCTCATTACAGATGGTTGTAAGCCACCATGTGGTTGCTGGGAATTGAACTCAGGACCTCTGGAAGAGCAGACGGTGCTGCTCTAAACCACTGAGCCATCTCTCCAGCCCCCCACATAATTATTTTTGTTTAAATAAATTTTATTTAATTTTAAAATTTATTTATATTATATTAACTTATTTATATTATTTCCGTGTGTGCATTTGTGTATGTACGTGCACATGAATACAAGTGTCTACATCAGCCAGGGTGTTGGAGATGCCCCTGGAGCTGGAGTTTACAGGTGGTTAGGATCCTGATGTGGGTGTAAAGAATTCAACCCAGGTCCATGGAAACAACAGGAAAGATGCTTAACTGCTGCTGAGCCATCACTCTAGCCCCATCGTGTGTGTGTGTGTGTGTGTGTGTGTGTGTGTGTGTGTGTGTCTCTCTCTCTCTCACTTTTTTTTTCCTGAAAAAGGGGAAAGGGTTTCTCTGTGTAGCTTTGGAGCCTGTTCTGGCATTCACTCTGAAGAATAGGCTGGTCTCGAACTCAGAGATCCACCTGCCTCTGACTCCCAAGTGCTGGGATTAAATGTGTGTGCCACCACCGCCTGGCACCCCAACAATTCTTTTTTTAAAGATTTTATTTATTATGTATACAATAAAGTGTTCTTCCTCCGTGTATGACTGCATGCCAAAAGAGGGTACCAGATCTCATTGTAGATTGTTGTGAGTCACCATGTGGTTGCTGGGAATTGAACTCAGGACCTCTGGAAGAGCAGTCAGTGTCCTTAACCTCTGAGCCATCTCTCCAGCCCCACCCCAACAATTCTTAACTCTAGCCCCAATGCAATTCTTAACATACCTGTCATATTTTTCAGAGAGGCATGACGGCCTCTGTTTGGAGTAGGGACGTTCTTTTATATCCAAGAGCTCCTCCTAAAGAGAGAAATCACACGAGGACTTTGAATCACATTTCTCAGGCAACATACTTCCACTTTATTTCCCTTCTGTGTGTCTTCTTTAAGCATTTCACATAATTTTTTGGGAGGGAGATGAGACAAGCTCAAGACTAGCCTTGAACTAATTCTCCAACCTCTACTCCAAGAGTACTGGGATCACAGTTGTTGTTTCCACATGATTCTTACAATTTTGGACTTGAAATTCCAAAAAGTCTACAACCAAATCAGAAAGCTCAAACAAAATTATCAAACAGTAAAGACTGCTACAAGTAGTTTCTGAAATACGTTTCCCCATACTTCCTGTCCAACAACAAAGTAAAAACACTGAATGCTGAGAAAGGCATGGAAATGCAGCCTTAAAGGAAACACAGTTAAGTCACTTTTAAAAATTATTTTATGTGGGTGTTTGCCTGCATGCTTGTGCACCACATGAGCTTGGTGCCTGCAGAGGCGAGAAGAGGGTGTCAGAATCATTAAAACTAGAGAGAGGTACAGACAGTTGTGAATTGCCTTATAGATGCTGAGAATTAAACCTGGGTCCTCTGGAAGAACAGTCAGTGCCCTTAACCACTGATCCATTTTCTCTAGTCTAAGGATAGGTTTTTCCTCTCCACATTATAATAATTTGCAAGAATGAAAAAAAAAGCAGAAAAACCACCCACGTACTTGAGAAAAAACTTTCATTTATTCATGTGTACGCATGCACGTACATGTTTATGTATGAGAATGTACATGTATGTATTGTACAGGAACAAGCACCATGCATCTTCAGAAACCAGAAAAGAACTTCAGATCCTTCAGAGCTGGAGTTATGGATGTTTATAAAGTACCCAAGATTGTTGTGGGTGCTGGGAAACTCTCTGGTCTTCGTGACTGCACAACAAATGCTCTTAACTGCTAAACTAGTCCTCCAGCCCCTACGCATTTATTACGTGTGTGTGTGTGTGTGTGTGTGTGTGTGTGTGTGTGTGTGTGTGTGTGTAGAGTACATTCATGTGTGGCCACTTGTATGTGAGTGTACATATGTTTGCAGGTAGATATGGAGGCCACGTACTAGAGTGCCTTCTCAATCTTCACAATATGCTTCACTAAAAAACAAAACAAAACAAAAAACAAAAAAAAAAAAAAAAGGGTTGGCTAGTCTGATCTACAGAGCAAATTCCAGAACAGTCAGGACTGCTAGCCACACAGAGAAAAAAACCCTGTCTAGGGGTGGTGGGAACTGAGCAGTGGTGGTGCACAGCTTTAATCCCAGCACTTGGGAAGCAGAGGCAGTTCTTCACAGGACTTCTGGAAGAGCAGCTAGTGCTCTTAACCACTGAGCCATCTCTCGAGCCCCTCTCTTTAGTTTGTTTTAACCACTCAAGAGTGAGTAGATTAAATTATGTTCCCTTACTCAGACATTGGAGTGTTCGTTTCTAAAGAATGAGGATATTCTCTTAAGATTTATTTTACTTTTATTTATGTGTACATACATGTGCGTATGGGGGCCTGAAGAGACTAGAAGAAGGCATCACATCTCCTGGAGCAGGAGTTATAGGCAGCTGTCAGTTCCTGAACCCTCTCTCTTTCTAGCACTAACAATGAGCATTTTTTAAAAAAAAAATATTTATTATATAAATATATATATTTATTATATATACAATATTCTGTCTGTGTATATGCCTGCAGGCCAGAAGAGGGAACCAGACCTCATTACAGGTGATTGTGAGCCATCAAGTGGTTGCTGGGAATTGAACTCAGGACCTTTGGAATAGCAGGCAATGCTCTTAACCGCTGAGCCATCTCTCCACCCCATGAATGAGCATTTTTTTAAAAACAACTTTTACCTAATTTACTAAGAATTTGATTTTACAAAACATATTTTTTCTTTCTATCTTTTTGTTCCCCCCTGAAAGAAGGTTTCTTTGTGTAGCCCTGGCGGTCCTGGAACTTATTCTGTAGACAAGGCTGGCCTTAAATTCACAGAGGAACGGCTTGTCCCTGCTTTCTCTGAGTTCTGGGGTTAAAGGTACGTACAACACAGATTCAACGCAATGCCCAGCAAAATTCTTGAAAGACCTCAAAAGAACGGTATTCAACTTCATTTGGAAAAGCAAAAAACCCAGGATAGCCAAAACAGTATTGTACAATAAAAGAACTTCTGGAGGCATCACAATCCCTGACTTCAAACTCTACTACAGAACTACAGTACTGAAAACAGCCTGGTATTGGCATAAGAACAGATAGGAGGACCAACAGAACCGAAAAGAATACCCGGATATCAATCCACACATTTTTGAACACCTGATCTTTGATAAAGAAGCAAAAAATATCAAATTTATTTATCAAGCATATTTAACAAGTGGTGCTGACATAACTGGATATCAACATGTAGAAGAATGAAAATAGACCCTTATCTATTACCATACACAAAACTCAAGTCCAAATGGATTAAAGACCTCAACATAAAGCCAGCCACAATGAACCTTATAGAAGAGAAAGTGGAAAGTACACTTGAACGCATTGGCACAGGGAACCACTTCCTAAATATAACCCCAGCAGCACAGACACTGAGAGAAACAATAAATGGGACCTCCTGAAACTGAAAAGCTTCTGTAAAGCAAAGGACATGGTCAACAAGACAAAACGACAGCCTACAGAATGGGAAAAGATCTCCACTAACCCCACATCAGAGAGGTCTGATCTCCAAAATATACAAAGAACTTAAGAAATTGGACACCAAAAGATCACATAATCCAATAAAAAAAAAATGGAGTACAGACCTAAACAGAGAACTCTCAACAGAGGAATCTAAAATGGCTGAAAGACACTTAAGGAAATGTTCAACATCATTTCAGAGAAATGAAAATCAAAACAACTCTGAGATTCCACCTTATACCTGTAAGAATGGCCACAATCAAAAACACTGATGACAACTTATGCTGGAGAGGTTGTGGGGAAAAGAGAACACTTCTGCATTGCTGATGGGAATGCAAGCTGGTACAACCCCTTTGGATGTCAGTGTGGCAATTTCTCAGAAAATTAGGAAACAACCTTCCTCAAGACCCAGTAATACCACTTTTGGGTATATATCCAAAGGATGCTCAATCGTGCCACAAGGACACGTGCTCAACTATGTTCATAGCAGCTTTGTTTGTCATAGCCAGAACCTGGAAACCACCTAAATGCCCCTCGACCGAAGAATGGATAATGAAAATGTGGTACATTTACACAATGGAGTACTACACAGCAGAAAAAATAACGACAGCTTGAATTTTGCAGGCAAATGGATAGAGCTAGAAAACATTATTTTGAGTGAGGTAACCCAGACCCAGAAAGACAATTATTACATGTACTCAGTCATAGGTGGTTTTTAAACATAAAGCAAAGAAAGCCAGCCCACAAACCACAATCCCAGAGAACTTAGACAACAATGTGGACACTAAGAGAGACTTACATAGATCTAATCGACATGGGAAGTAGAAAGTATAAAAAGACAAGATCTCCTGAGTAAATTGGGAACATGGGAACCTTTTGAGAGGATTGAAGGGTATAGGGGAGAGATAGGGAGGGGAGCAGAGAAAAATGTAGAGCTCAATAAATACCAATTAAAAAAAAGAGTAACCATCAAAAAAAAAAAAAAAAACTGATGTAATATGGTAACCAAGAAGTAACCTTCAAGTAGGGTATTAGTTTTAAAAAACACATGTAATACAGACTTCAGTTAACAACAGCAAATATTGGCTCATTAAGTATAACAAATGTTTTATATACTAAGAAGATACTAGAGAAAATGAAGCGAGGAACATATAGGAAACCTCTATGTATACAAATATTAACTAAAAATGCATCAAAGGGTAGAGGTTGTAACTCAAAGTTTTTGCTTAGCCAGCATGTGGAAAAACTAGACAGGAATGTAAGGTGTTGTGGCTGCTGTGGAATACATTCACAATTCCTCAGAAAAGTTAAAACAATTAACAGCAAGCAATTCCACTCCTCAATCGATACAGAAGACAAATAAAACAGTCCATCCCAAAATGTACTGTGTGTATAGATGCTCATAGTGGCAGCTCATAATAACAAAGAATAAAAGCAACTTGTGTCTATTAATGAGTACACTGCTGTGGAATAATCTTTTTGTACACTGTGAGGATTTAACACTTGGACTGGTTTAATAAAAAGCTGAATGGCCAATAGCTAGGCAGTATTTTTAGGGCAAAGAAGATGCTGGGAAGAAAAGGGCAGGGATGCAGGAGAAACCAGACAGATGCAGATGAGTTGGACACACAAAATAGGATAGAGGTAAAAGTCATGTGGTAGAACGTAGATTAATAAAAATACGGGTTAATCTAAGTTATAAGAGCTAGTTAAGAAAAAGTCTAAGCTGTCAGCCGAGCTTTCATAAATAATAAGTCTCCGTGTACTTATTTAGGAGCTGGTAGGCAGGACAGAGAAAGACTACTTACATGCAGAACACAAAACGTTATATAGTCACACAGTGAAATACTTAGCAATAAAAAGGGCAAAGTTACAATACACAGAATACAATGAAATATTAAGTAACATAGGGAGAAAAGATGAATTAAGAATGAGCCTGGAAAGTATTACACTAACAGTTTGTTCTTTAACTATATATAGAGCACTTTCCTTGTCTTTGTATTTCTGTCAGTTACTCAAGAGAGATAGATGTTCTTAAAGTTACCATAATATCAAGAGTCCTTAATGTCAATTATTCCTTGAAAGGGACCCCTTTTAAAGATATTTTCAAAGAAAACTTTATTTTAGCCAAATATAAAATCCTTGGAAAGTCCTCTCAAGCATTTCAATAGAATGTGAGCACTCTTGTAGACTTTACACACTATGGGCCTAACCTCTGGACTCATCCCACAGATACTAAAGGCTTTAATACTTTCTTTTCACTTTTTGTACAGGTCACTAAAACCTGACTAGGCAAAAACAAGCTACTAATTGCCCAAGAACCACACACTCAAGGAAGCTGAGTCAGTCTCCCTTAAAAAAAAAAAAAAAAAAAAAAAAAAAAAAAAAAACTTGACAGCTGAGCCATGGTGGCACACTCCTTTAATACCAGTACTTTGGAGGCTGAGGCAGAGGCAGGTGGCCTAGGACAACCAGAGCTAAACACAGAGAAACCATCTCAAAAAAACAAAAATCAGCTGGGCAGTGTGGCGCACATCTTTAATCCCAGCACTTGGTAGACAGGCAAGCAGATCTCTGTGAGTTCAAAGCCAGCCTGGTCTAAAAGAGCTAGGTCCAGGACAGGCACCAAAAACTACAAAGAAACCCTGTCTCGAAAATTAAAAAAACAAATAAATAAAAACAAAAAACCAAAACAAAACAAAAAGTAATGGGAGTTGGGGAGATGCCTTGATAAAGGGAGTTGCCCAACAAACTGAAGAACCTGAGTGTAAATCCTCAGCGCCCATCTAAAAAGCAGAGTATGGCTATACCCCAGTATGGGGAATGGAGAAAGGTGAACTCCAAAAGTTGCTGGTCATCCAGGCTTGCCAAAAAGTGAGCTTCTGATTCAGTGAGGGACTGTATCTCAGTATAATGCAGATAGCAATAGAGAAGAGACTCACATCCTGACTTGACCTCTGCATATGCACACATGGGTGTCACTACCTATATACACACACAAATAGCACTGGGATAAAAGCACCTGTAGCTGGCAATCAGGCCAATGTCATTCATGAAGTGAGGTACTAAAAGGGACCCGAGAATAGTTCTTGCAGATGGTTAGGTTAGCACCACACTGAGTGAAATCACTTTAACCTAAACAGGTTGACCGGACATAGACACTTTTCTAGTGAAGAATGCATACTAAACTATGAAAACACTACCAGAAAGAAAAAAATCAGAAAACCTGATTTTCTTGTTCAAGATCTTTCCCCTGTGCGCCTGATCAATGTAATAAAAGCAATCCTTGCCTTTTAAGTAGTCAATATAACTGATTAAAATAATGTAAAACTGCAAAAAAGTAAACAGGTTGATAAATATTAGAAGGAAACCTAAAACATTAAAGTTATTTTTAGAGCAATCTGCTTCAGTGTTAGAATGGAGATGAAGGTGGGCAGCACAGCTTAGGTACAGAGGGTTTCCAAAGAAGCAATTAGGCTATGCAGGCTCCCTGCTCAGCCAAATAACAGCAAAAGGTTACTCACTGCCACTTAGAAAGTCATTGCCTTGATTCTAAAGCTGGTATTTATAGGTCGGTCATCTTTGAGTAAGCCTGTTTATCATCTCGTTTTTACCATTTGCTGTGTAGCAGGCACTGGACCTGCACTTTCCCATTTATTCACCATAAAAGCTCCTGCAAGATCAACTGTATTCTATCTTCACTTTCTAGAGGAAAAGAATGAGATTAAGAGAGCCTAAATGGCCAGGTGTGTTGGTGCATGCCTTTAATCCCCACACTCAGGAAGCAGTGGATCTGTGTTTGAGGCCAGCCTGGTCTCTGGAGGGAGTTCTAGGACAGCCAGGGCTACACAGAGAAACCCTGTCTGTCTCAAAAAACAAAAACAAATAATAAAAAAAGGAGAGGAGCTAAAGCTAAGTGAAGTGACTGAAGGTCACACAGGTTAAAGGTAAAGCAGTAATCTAGTCATCCACTCCATGAGCGGTGCTCAACAATCTTTAGTGCCTCTTTTCTTCTTCAAAGCTTGCATGGACAAGAAGATACATCACCCCTTTCTCAAGCTGTGTCACTAATTAGACTTGCTCCTGTCTGGCTGGACCACTGGGAACTCTCAGCCAAACTTCTTGGGTAGGTTGTCCTCAAGCCCAGCATCCTATTATAGCACACCTTCTACAAATTTCTATATACAATGACTGGCTTCTTATCTAGCTAAAGTTCCTACATTGCTGGGCAAGAAGCACACTCATGGGGTCAAAGAACCTGAGTCCCAACTTTTTAAGTTAAAATGGAAAAGGCAGGAAACAACAGTCAGAACCCAACCAACCAAGAATTTCCAGTTAGCTATATATTCTGGACAGGTGACATATTAAGACTGTTAATGATTTTTCACACCCTAACTCTGCCTTCGGCAAAACAGGCATCCTTATTTGTATGCTAGCTTAAACACAACACTGAAATGCCACCTGTTAGAGGTTAGTACTTAAGTTAGTTTGTGGAAGATATGTATAAATTAGGATGATTTTTGTACAGGAAACAGATCATCTGATTCTTGACTTCTACCTGGAATTTAAATCTTATTCTTCTCTAACAAAACAAAAATATCTTACTTTTCTCTGAGGCTCACTTTCTTTCTTTTCTTTTTTATTTTTTTTCCCAAGACAGGTCTCACCATGCTCTGGCTGTCGTGGAACTCACTATGAAGATCAGGCTGGCCTCAAACTCATAGACACCCACCAGCCTCTGCCTCTGAGAGCTGTGGTTAAGTATGTGTGCCACTGTATTTACAGCAAAACTTCTAGTTCTTGGGAATAAGGTTTAGCAAAACAGATCAGAAATTAAATATTAATGACTTAAAACCCTCAGAATGACAGGAACACACGATCAACCCATTCATAATATCCTACTTAACTGTCACAAAGGCTCAAACGTTGGTGGGAAGATACCATGTGACTCTAACCAGAATTCCTATACTTGGAAGGAAGCAGAGGCCACTCTGAACCTTAGGGAGCAGCTATATATCTCAGTCACCTGAAAAACACCATTTGTCAGTCTTCCACAGAAGAGACTACTTCAAAAAAGCCAAAAAAGAACTAGGAAATTTAGAATCACATAAGCTTGTAAGTAGTTCAAAGCCATTTCCCTTCATCTGATACACTCAGAATTCACCTGTCAACATTTTAGGCAACAAGTTTAAGTTGTGGCGTACTTCTCAAGCATGAGAGCCTTTATATTTGGAAGATAAAATCTGAAGCACAGTCCAAAAAGATTTCTGACAAATGTTAATCCCAGCACAGGGAGGCAGAGGTGCCTGGTCTACAACTGACTGATAGGAAAGCACTCAATCAAGAACTCACATTAAGCAGGGTGGTGGTGGCACATGCCTTTAATCCCAGCACTCGGGAGGCAGAGGCAGGCGGATCTCTGTGAGTTCGAGGCCAGCCTGGTCTACGAGAGCTAGTTCCAGGACAGGCTCCAAAGCCACAGAGAAACCCTGTCTTGAAAAACCAAAAAAAAAAAAAAAAAAAACAAACTCACATTAAACACTCCCTTCCAGGCATACTTAATCACTCATTTCTTCATCCATTCATTCTCTCGTCCTTTAATGCTGAAAATTACTGTCTGACACCTTACCAATCAGGGAAAAGTAAAGACAGTACATAACCAAGGCCCAGCTTTCGTGAGTGCCCTAGAAGGCCAGGGACAATACGGCATGCTGGAGTTCAGGACACTGTTCATACTAAGGAAATATGGACATGGGCTCAAGTAGAGCATAATCCCTGTCACTGGCTGTCTTAAGAGTTTCCACGAGCCAGGTGGTGGTGACACGCCTTTAATCCCAGCACTCAGGAGGCTGGGGCAGCAGATCTCCGAGGCCTGCCTCATCTAGAGCTAGTTGAGGACATCTAGTGCTGTTACACAGAGAAACAACCCTGTGTCAAAAAAACAAGACTTTCCACTTTAGGAACATTTTATATACTCTAGCCCAAGGCAGTTTAGAAAGCCAGAAATGAACTTCTAGTTAGTTCACCGCAACTTGTTAATCTGTTCAGAAACACTCAGCAGCCAATATGACACAGATGCAATTATCTTTACTAAGTACAAAACCTTGACGTGGTTGCTGAGCTAGGGAAGATAGCAGACAACCAATTTGAAACCACCTGTAGTAGTGCACGCCTCTAACTTCACACACTGAAGGCTGAAGCCAGAGAATACTACAGGCAAACCATGTCTCCAAAAACAAAAATAGGAAGCTTAAAATCATTATGTATTTTTTTTTTTTTTTTTTTGGTTTTTCGAGACAGGGTTTCTCTGTGGCTTTGGAGCCTGTCCCGGAACTAGCTCTGTAGACCAGGCTGGTCTCGAACTCACAGAGATCCGCCTGCCTCTGCCTTCCAAGTGCTGGGATTAAAGGCATGCGCAACCATCGCCTGGATTCATTATGTATTCTTAAGTAACAAAATATGACTAAAGGCTTGCTTTTGTGAGTCCATAACCAATTTGTAACAAAAAGAAAAAAAAAAGGATTAAAAAAAATCCACAATTATTCCTGACCAAGTCACTCCTACAGGGACTGGATTCTCAAGGAAACGATACAAGAGACACTGATTCTGTGAAGCACGCCAGAGCCAGAATCCTCGCCTGGTCCTATGCCACCCAATCGCACAACTGCTACAGAACATCTGGGTGCAAACAAGAACTTATCTACAAATGTCACACAGGGTCTGAGGGAACAGCTTTCACCTGAAACCTACAGTTTAAACCCAGTAGTCACATGTCCAGAAAAATGACCAAACTGATACTTTACTAAATGTATTTAGTCCCCAGTGAGTCAGAACAAGACTACTTTAAACACCACCAATGAAAGTTACACATTACTTAGTCATTAGTAACAAGACTTACCTTTGTATAGCGATGGGGGGATTTCTTTAGGTCAAGGAACACATCTCCATTTTCTGTCTCATCCACACTTCTCTTCTCCATGGCTTCTTGGTGTACAATTTTTTTTTTGCACCTGGGAAGATAAATTTCAGTACAAAACTGTCAAAACGAAGAGTAAATATTCAGAAGACTTAGTTGCTTATGAAACTTTTAACTTTGAGGGGGAAAAAAATCTAAATAGTTGTGTAAAGAAATCCACCCCAAACATCACGGTATGAACCAGAACTGAATTGGAAAATGGACCACCTTAAGTATTAAGTATCCACAGCGTAAGGAAAGCAGAAGTGGAAGGGGCCCAACTCAGAGTACAACCTTTAATTATCGTTAATACAAAGAGAAACCAAAATAGTCGCTGCCACCCACGAGAACCGACCAGGCGGTGCTGGTGAAGTTTCCCGGAGTAGAGAGTAGAGGCAGGACTGGTTGGGCTGCCAATCCGGGAAGTCAGGCTGCTGGAAAGTGCCTGTCACTTGTCAATGGATGGCACCAGCTGCCCCTCATTACCCCAGTGTAAGAGGTTGGGGAACCGGCCCGAGCGCACCTCTCTCAGCCGGCCACACCTGTGGCCATGTGAGGGGCGTCCGCGGCGAGAGAAGGGCCGCCGCGGGCCTCCTCGGGGAAAACTCCGCTCCTTGAATCAACCCCCGGCCCCTCACGCAAGCCCCGGGCCAGAGGCCTCCTCTGGAAGAAGGGCGGGGACGATACTCACGGAGGGAGGCGGGCCGGACGGAGCAGGGACTAAGTCCACGGGCCGGCCGCCTACAGCCGGCGCAGGCCCGCCTGCTGCCCGCCCGCCGGTCGCCCGCGCGCCTCGCGCCTCCGCCGCCCCCTGCGCGCGCCCTGCCGCCCGCGCTCCCGGGGCAGCGCGCTGTCCACGCCCGCAGGCCGGGGCCCCGCTCTCGCCGTACCCTTGTTCGGAGCGCCCGCCGCCGGGCGGCCCCGCGTGTTGGCCGCCGCGTCCCCCCGCGCCCGCTCCAGGCCCGGCGCCTCTGCCTGCGGCCTGCGCTTGCGCCCCCACCCCCCCACCCGCTCGGGCTGGCTCTCCTCAGCCGCCGTAACCGCGGCCCGGCCCTCCGGCGCAGCTCTCCGCCCCCTCCCCCTAATAACCCCCGTCGCGCACCGCGGGCCCAGGCACCGCCCTCGCAGCGCGCAGGACCTGGGGTGCCTGTGGCGGTGCCTGTCGGAAAAGCCGCATTGGGCCGCGCGCTCCGCCGCTCTGAGCTCTGCGTGGGCCGGATGGCGGGGGCACAATAGCCGGACAGGCACGGTGGCTGCGGGGAAGTGATCACGACCGGAGCTGCGGGAGTCGGCGCCGCAGCGCTCAGGCGCCCGCTGTGGACAACTCAAGGAAGCGCGCCGCGTTCCCACGCGTCGGGAAGGGCGGAGCCAGTAGCGCGCTGTCCCGGACCCGCGCCACGCCGGCGGGAGCGTGGTACCCTGGGTGGGTCTGCTGTTTCGTCCGGTCGCTGGCGGTCACCAGGCTGGGCCACACCTGGGGCTTGGGTAGCAGGAGCCTGTTAGAAGGACTTAGCGGTGTTCTGTGTTCACTATTGGCGTGGCTAGGGTAAAGGTCTGAGCGCCCTGACCCCCCCCCCCCATGACCCTTACTAAGAGGATTAGCCTCAAGGGCTGGTGCATTAATAAGCAAGTTTGTCCCAATTATTCTTGACCCTACATGAAGGAAATTGACATATTAATTGAAGTATCTTCGAGTGAATAATCTGGATCTTGCCTTACCCTGCACGGGAAGGGAAGAGTTAAGTATCTGGGAGAAATTAAGTGGTCGGTATCTGGCGTTTAGCCTTTGCCCGAGTGCCGAAACTCAAGTTGACGGAGGATGCAGATATGCATATAAGTAAACAACCCAAGAACTGCTGCTCTGGGAAGGCGGCTTGTGAGCCTGGTCTGCAGTTGACTGCTGAGCTGTTTCTGCACGGTGGGACTGCCCTTAGTTGATATTTCTTTGGCGTAGAGGGAGACTTAGTTTTTTCGTTTTTGTTTTGTTCTGTAAAGAACACTGAGGTTGATGATGTTGGCCTATGCATATAATCTTGCGGAGTTTTGCGGAGTTTGGGACCAGCAGTTCAAAGCCAACGTGGGCAACATGGCATTTGAACATTTATTTTACTTGGGAAATTACTTGGCTTCTTTCTGTGAGCCATGGCAATAAAAGTAATCTTTCCTCTTTGGAGTTATTTATACAGTCTCTCTCCCAAGCTATCTTTTGTGACAGGGTTTCACTATGTAATCCTCGCTGGCCTCCGAAGGCCTGGATTACCAGTGTGTGCCTCGAGAACTGCAGACGAGAGACCGGAACGTCTGCATTTAGGCCTGCATCTCCACTGCAGTATAGGCTGGATAGTTAGGAGTGTACTGTCTTTAGCTTGTTTTGCCAGGTGGGAATAGCAGTAGTAAAGATCGCGGGGCGGGTGTGTGTATGTGTGTGTCAGGAAGCCTTAGCTAATTTACATAAAGATTCTTTGAAAAAGATTTTTTTTTCAGGATAGGGTTTCTTTTTGTAACAGCCCTGGCTGTCCTGTAACTCTGTAGATCAGGCAAGCCTCAAATTTAGCTGCTACCTCTTCCAAGTGCTGGGATTAAAGACATGCTCCAAACCCGACAAAGAAAAAAAAAATAAAGTCTATGCAAAGACACATTGTGGAGAATCGTGGTCCCTTTTCTTTCTTTTTTCTCCTTGTTTCTCTGTGTAATGCTGGCTGTCCTGGAATTCGCTCTGTAGACCAGGCTGGCCTCACAGAACTGAGATCCACCTGCCTCTGCCTCCTGTGCTGGGTTAAAGGCGTGCGCCACCACTGCCAGGCTGAGATCTAGATTCTTTAAGCTGAGAGAAATAGGAGTAATCCTTTCGCTATGGAGCACAGAAGACACCCACTCCCAGATGCTGAGTTAGAGACCCAGAGCTCAGGCATGCTAGATGCCAGGACTCTACCTGAGTTGTTCAGTATTTGGAATCAACCTTACATTCTAGTAAGTGCTAGGAAAGTACTCTTTAAAACTGAGCAACATTCCTAGCCCAATAAATTATTTTCTAAAAGCTACCAAATGTCACTTAATGAAATCTTAGTGGGGCTGGAGAGATGGCTCAGTGGTTAAGAGCATTGCCTGTCTTCCAAAGGTCCTGAGTTCAATTCCCAGCAACCACATGGTGGCTCACAACCATCTGTAAAGAGGTCTGGTGCCCTCTTCTGGCTGCAGACATGCACACAGACAGAATATTGTATACATAATATTAAAAAAAAGAAATAGGAATCAAAGTGTGTACTTCTTGGTCTTGTAGAGGTAATTAGAAATAACATTAAAATGAGCTAGGGCAGAACATGGTGACACAAGCCTGTAATTGCAATGTTCAGGTGACAGGAAATCTATGAGCTCAAGGATAGCATGTTCTACATAGTTCTAGGCCAGCTAGGGCTACGTAGTGAGACCCTGTCTCTAAAAGGCAGGAGCTGGGTAGTGGTGACACATGCCTTTCATCCCAGCACTCAGGAGGCAGAGGCGGGCATATCTCTGAGTCCGAGGCCAGCCTGCTCTACAAGAGCTAGTTCCAGGACAGGCACCAAAGCCAACAGAGAAATCCTGTCCCCAAAAAAACTAAAATGAAATAAATGCAGGACTTGGAGAAATGGTCCAGTAGTTAAGAGCTCAGGCTGGGGCTGGAGAGAGAGCTCAGTGGTTAAGAGTATTGACTGCTCTTCCAGAGGTCCTGAGTTCAATTCCCAGCCCGTATGTGGCTCACAACCACCCAATAATAAGATCTGGTGCCAACTTCTGTCTGCAGGCATACATGCAGGCAGACCACTGCATACATAGTAAATAAATAAATAAATAAAAAATAAAACATCAGGACTTGGAATTTACTACCCAGTCCTCGCTAGACTGGAACTTGTGGCATCTGCTTCCCAAATGTTGGCTCGTAGGCCCTTGCCCGGACTCNATTTACTACCCAGTCCTCGCTAGACTGGAACTTGTGGCATCTGCTTCCCAAATGTTGGCTCGTAGGCCCTTGCCCGGACTCGCATTCAGTACAGCTCATACATAGTAAATAAATAAATAAATAAATAAATAAATAAATAAATAAATAAATAAATCTTTTAAAAAATAAATAAGGGCTGGAGAGGTTGAGAGCACTGGCTGCTCTTCTAAATGTCCTCTGAGTTCAATTCCCAGCAACCTACATGGTGGCTCACAACCATCTATAATGAAATCCAGTGCCATCTTCTGGCATGCAGGCAAAACGTGGTATACATAAATCTTTTTTAAAGGCTGCTGTTGCTGAGGATTCCTAGCACTACAGGTAACTCCAGTTCCAGGAGCAACACCTGGCCTCTGAAGACACTAGGCATGCTTGTTAGTGCACTACATACAGGTAAACCACTAGTACACATAAATCTTAAAAACAACAACAACAACAAAACATAAGAATAGGACTGAGGATATAGCTCAGAGGTAGAGTATAAACTTAACATGTGCAAGAAGGTCCTCAGTTTAATCCCTAGCAACCACGAAAAAACAAAGACAACAAAAGCCCTACCCAAAACCAGAGGATTGAGCCCACATTTGGCTCCCAACTTTATAATTGGGTGGGTACCAACAGCTGTTCTGATTCATTCAGCATCACCTGATGGTGGCTTAAAGGCCAGGCACTAAGACCCCTTAAAGGATCCTTTATTCACGTGCATGGGAATTGAAGGTGCTGTCAGCTGGGGCTACTGGGGCTTTAATGCATGTCCTTTTTAATTTTTTTGTTTGGTTGGTGTTTTGTTTTGTTTTTTGAGAGAGGGTTACTCTGTGTTGCTCTGGAGCCAGTCCTGGAATTAGCTCTTTTAGACCATGCTAACCTCAAACTCGCAGAGGTCCGCCTGTTTCTGCCTCCCAAGTGCTAGGCGTAAAGGTTAGTGCCACTACTGCCTGGCTCCTTTTTAATTATTTTTAAATATTTATTTATTTATTTGTTATGTATACAATATTCTGTCTGTGTGTATGTCTGCAGGCCAGAAGAGGGCACCAGACCTCATTACAGATGGTTGTGAGCCACCATGTAGTTGCCGGGAATTGAACTCAGGACCTTTGGAAGAGCAGGCAATGCTCTTAACCACTGAGCCATCTCTCCAGCCCCTCCTTTTTAATTTTTAAAAGTTTTTATTTTCTGTGTATTTTGAGTGTCTTTCGTGTATGTATGGCACATGCCTGGAACTGGAATTTCAGATGGAGTTAATGTGGGTTCTGGGAGCAAACCTCAGTCCTCTGCAAGAACTGCTGAGCAGTCTCTCCCATCCCTACATGGCCTTTTATTTTGCATGTGTACCACATATTTGTGTGGTGCCCTCAGAGGTCAGAGGAGGGTATCAGATCCCCTGTAACTGGAGCCACAGTGGTTTTGAGCAACCATGTGTGTGTTAGGAACTGAACTTGGGTCCTCTGGAGCTTTGGTGCCTGTCCTGGAACTAGTTCTTGTAGACCTGGCTAGCCTCAAACTCACAGAGATCCATCTGCCTCTGCCTCCCAAGTGCTGGGATTAACGACATGGGCCACAACCACCCAGCTAAAATTTATTTAACTTTATTTTATGTGCATTGACATCGGATCCCCTGGAACAGAGTTAAAGATAGTTGTGAGCTGCCATGTGGGCAGAACCTTGCCTCTTAAGAGGCATCAGACAGGCCTTGCAAGTCTGCTCCTGGACAAGGACACAGAACTAGATTCTCTGTATCCTTTCATCAAGGCCTCTAAGAAAGCCCTGGGTAGTGGTCTCCCCACAGTGTTAATGCAGCAATAGAAAAGTAACATACGCTCGAGCTTCTCCCTGTAACTCTCATGGAAATACTTCTTTTCCTTTCCTGAGTTTGTCAAAGCCGAGGGTGATGAATG